TCTAGGTAAGTTTCTCAATTTCTTTCAATCTTATGTCTTGTTTTTTAGTTCCCCTCGCATACTCTTACATTCAATGTACTGATGCCATTTGGCTTGCATCTTATTATGATGTAGAGACAGGTTACCAGGATAAACATCCAACTCATTGTTAATCGAGTTGAGAATTAAGAGTATGTTGGTGATCCTCTTTACTTTCAAGAGGGCTCCTTCCTTTTAACTTTTTTTTTGGTATTTCATCTGTTAGGATGATCGGGGGTATTGTCATTGTATCCATCTGAGGTGCTTTATAGGCTTCATAGACAGTTAGATGTTACTTCATTGATCTTTTCATTTTCATTGTCTTATGTTGAGATATGAGTTTCCCTTAATGGCCAGTTGAATATCCCTTTATAAAATTCTAGTTTAGTACAAGGATTGATCTTTGTTGAGTTCAACTTTCCACTAAGTAAGCAAACAAGACCAAGGGTTCGCTTACGACCAATAATGGTCTTCGAAAGCCAGTATTGCTTGAGGTGTAAGACTGGGGCATTACACGAACACATGAAAAAGCAAAGTCATTTACTAATTAAGCTAGCTCATACACTTGTATCTATGATTTTATTAGTAAGTATATACGGTCATTTAATACATACATGTCTCATAAATGTAACAATAAATTTTGTCAAAGAGATGTTTAAGTAACAAGAGCATATGACATTATCGAAGAGCCAATAACTATATTATGGTTAATTATAAACCTTTGCAATTTGAAAAGAGGGAAAGAAGATAAAAAAGGTTACTGGTGCAATTCTTCTACAAATCAAATCTTTGGTTAGAAGGAAGTTCATTGGGTCGTCGACCAGCCTTTTCGGAAGTGTATAACGAGGTAGTTAGTGTTTCAATGAACATTAAAATGGATTACCTATGAATGTTTTGATCTCCTAAAGTCACACAAGGGAAATGGTGAAAAGCCAAGCCAAGAGGGTGATAGAAAGGAGCACTCGGAGCATCGCCTATCTGGTTAGCAAAGCCCAAATTATTTTATTGAGGGGCTCTAAAAATATGAGAACGCATAAATGCAATTTTCGAAACAAGAAAAATAAGCTCTAGAACTTTTGAGAATTCCCGCATAGTCAAGTCCTGGGTTTTTAACCTTAAAATTCAAAATATTGTTTTTGTTCTTTTTAAGTAGGGATTTAGGGTTGGTTTTGATTTAGAACTCAGTTTGAGAATTTTGAAGAGTTGTGATCTTTTATACATGTTAATGGAAAACATAGTTGGTAACTATTTCCTGCTCTTTATTTTGTGTGGATAAAACACCCATTCATGAGGGTGTGAACATTTTATTGAATGTTTCCATTATTTAGTTCCAAAACAACTCTAGTTTAGCATTCTAAGCTTGCTTGAGAAAGAGGTTTTAGGATTAAAATATTGATTGATGTTTGTTGTGCTTGGGTGATTGTGAACTTAGCTTAAGAAAGTGGGTCTGAATTAATCACTACCAATCTACCTAACAAAAAGCAGATTGATTGAGGTATTGAGTTGTTTACATGAGTTGGGCTTGTCGAAGTTAGATAGTTTCTATTGACATTGTACAACGTGTACAATAGATCACCGATCGGTTGCAAATAAACTTTGACATCAAAGCCAGTTTGCTATGGAATTTAAATTAGACAAATACACCAAGTTCATATAGGTCCAAACAAAAGTTGACCTGAAACTATCAAAAGTATACATGAGTTGTGGATACTAAATATAGAAATGAGTTATTCTTTCAAAGACTGGTTAAAAATAAAAATGATTCATATACATTGGAATGAATTATATGTTTATTACTAGTGAGTCTGCTCAAAGGATATGGATGCTTTGTTATTTATTCTTAAGTAGATGGTCCTTTTGTGCAACATCACCAAACTGGAATATTAAGATTTGTAGTAGCTATTATGAACTTGTCCGCATGTTGGTGCTCAATACTACTCTCATAGTATACTAAAACTCTTTCTATGTTGTTTGGGGCTATTAGTAAAATGCATATATCTTAAAATAGATGGAACTCAAAATACTCAAGAAAACTCGTTTGTAAATCGGTAACATTTGCTCTTTGAGAATACGTCCCATACTTTATTTATTAGAAAAGAATGAATTTAGGTCTACTTTTTTCAAATGAATTCTTAAGTCCTTAAAACAAGTTTAAAATGTATGTAATAGATTTTGAATGAATCCCCCTTTATTGGTTCCTCCTGAGCTAGGCAGAACTTTGATATTATATATATCACTACTTAATAATTCTATTGGTTGTGTATTGGGTAAGTATGATGACACTGGAAAGAAAGAGCAGGCCATTTATTACCTCAGCAACAAGTTTACCATTTATGAATCAGAGTACACTTTTCTAAGAAGAACGTGTTGTGCCGTAACTTGGGTAGCACCGAAGTTGAAACATTATCTTTCATCTTAAACTACTATCTCATTTCTCATATGAATCCGTTGAAATATAATTTTCAAAAGCCCATGCCCACGGGTAGGCTTGCGAAATGGAAAATGTTGCTCACAGAGTTTGACATTATCTACGTGATGCAAACCGGAACAAAAACTCAAGCATTGGCAGTTCATTTCGCAGATAACCCTATTGAAGAAAAATATGAACCACTTAAGACCTATTTCCAAATGAAGAGATATCTTGTATCAATGAAGTTCTTTGTGATAACAATCAAGGATGGAAGTTGTTCTTTGACGGTGCCGCTAATAACAAATGAGTTGGAATAGGAGTTGTTTGTATGTGTAAATTAGGGGAATATTACCCTATAGCAACCCAACTTAGATTATATTGTACTAATAATACATCTAGAATGAATCTTGCATTTTGGATTTGAGATTAGCTACAGACATGGGCATCCAAGCATCGCTAGTGTTACGAGAACCAGACTTGCTAGTTCATCAATTTCAAGGAGAATGGGAAACTCTTAACCTAAAGCTCATACCATATCAACATTGTTTAAAATATATATGTCAACAATTTGTGTCGATAAAGTTTACGCACATTCATAGTGTTCATAATGAGATAGCAGATGCATTGGCTACTTTTTCTTCGATGCTCAAAGTCTTGATCCTTTATACATAAAAATTCGATATCAATATACTTATTGCAACATGGTTGAAGAGGATTTTGATGGTAAACCTTGGTTCCATGATATTAAAACGTATCTTCAGTTTTGAGAATGTCCGTCAGATGTAATTAGTAATCAAAACTATTCGACGTCTAGAAATCGGGTTTTCATTAAGCGGAGGTATATTATACAAAGATGTGTCTCAAGAGTCTTCAACGTTCATGATTGAAGTGCACTCAAGAGTTTGTAGACCTCACATGAATGGACATGTTCTAGCTAAGAAGATACTTTGAGAAGGATATTATTGGCTCACCATGGAAAGGGATTCCATATGATTTGTTTGTATATTTCATGAATTACAAGTACATGGTGATTTGATACATTCTCCTCCCTCCGAGTTGCATGTAATGTATGCTCCATGGCCATTTGTGGCATGGGAATGGATGTGATTAGGCCAATAGAACAAAAATCATCAAATGGTCAGAAGTTCATCCTTGTAGCCATTGATTATTTCACAAAGTGGGTGGAAGCAATAACCTTCATGTTAGTGACCAAGAAGGTTGTGATAGATTTCATTTATTGCAATATCATATGTTGATTCCGTATCCAGAAGTAATTGTTACCGATAATGCTGCAAATCTCAATAGGCTTAATGCAAGAGATATGACATCACTTTAAGGTTGAACATTAAAATCAACTCCATATCGCCCAAAAGAAAATGCAGTTGTAGAAGCTACTAACAAATATAAAAAAAAGATACTTCGTAAAATGGTGCAAGGATCTTGACAATGGCATGAAAAGTTGTCTTTTGCTTTTTTGGGTTATCGGACAATAGTACGTACATCAGTTATGGCCACCCCATATTCGTTGGTGTATAGGACTGAGGCAGTTTGTAATGACCCTTATTGTTATTTTTAGTGTTTTATGTTTTGTGCATCGTTTAGAGTGTTCCTATAGCTATCCCAAGTCATTTATGACTTATTGGGACTGATAGATTGGTCACCTGGTCGTTCATTTGGTTATTGTACTTTAGTATTTTTGAAGCTTATGAACCTTGAACGATTATTTTTGATCAAAGATTCAAGAAGATGATATCAAATCCAATTCTAACAATTCCATCAGTTCCAGAAGGGTCATTTTAGGCTAGTAGCATTATCGCCATGACTCCCGATGTTTTCAATGTGAGTTGGTGTGATTAGGCGTTTTAACTTTAAGTTAAAAGATAAGTTTTACTTTAGTCAACATTCTTAGTAAATGCGCTCGGATGAGGATTCTATTAGAGCGGCTAGCTCGAAAATGTCAAGTTTGGTCTAGTTTGACCCTTATTTCGTGTTCTGAGGTTTTTGATATTTTAAACGAGTCCTTTTGTGGTTTTTGACATAAAATGGCCAATGGAAGTGGAACCCACATTTTATCGACATGACCTCTGATCAAAATTTCGACTGCGCCATTGTGTACGGAATGTCAACTTTGGTAGGTAGCATACCTTTTTTGTTTTTATCAGGTTCCAAACAAATTCCGAGCACCCGTCGGAGACTTTGAAGAAAGTGACAAAGCTGAAATTTGTGCACCCTTTTAACGACAAGTATTTGTGGTTTTAACGACCAATTTTTTTGAGTTTTTGGTTGCATGTTCATGTTTGGACTGTCTTGAGTCCCAAAATGTGTTCTATTTTGGAACACAAGTTCCGAGAGTTTTTTAGGACCTTTATTTGTGGTTAATTCTGGATTTCTCAACGTGGATCCCACTTTTTCCGTTTTGATCTCGAAATTGACTCGACTCCATTTCTTGTGATTTCAGTGTTTAAATGATCGTAATAATGTTGTGAGTTATAACTCTTTTGAGATGTTAAATTAGTGGTCATAATCATTTTGGAGATATGGACATACTTACCAATAATAGAAGACATAAAAATAATACTTCAAGGAAATAACATTGACAGGAGGAGCTATGTAACATCAACACATTACGTTAAGAGCTTAATGACACAATTGAATTCAAAAAACAAAAAAGAGAATTCAGCAGACTTGTTTTTGTAATTACCATTTCTATACCAGCAAATAGGGGGATAATTACACAAGTATAAATTAGTGAACGTATAATGAAGTAGTTCTATGCACTACGGAGTGGGGGAAATTTTGTTATCTATTTGGAGATAATACGCTGACACTATGTTTCCTTTTCTAGGGACACAACTTTTGAGATTCACTTAATTGATATTATTCGCTGGTATCAGATTTCATGCCAAAGGGATATAGAATCGAATAGCCTTACATACTCTATCCTCAGACTGATATACAATTACGTTTCATCCTCCCCTTTTTGGTTGTAATCTATAATTTCAGTCATAAGTTAGCAGCTATCACATCGTGAGCTTCGTAAAATAGTAGCTAACTTTGAAAGATAATGATCCCATAAAGCACTTAACATAATGAGTATCACCACACCCTCATTCTCTGTCCATCACATACATTATATATCCTTTCCACAAAATCAACAAAGCTACGCCAACAGTAATACACATAGAACAGCCCCAAATATTCTTTATCATACAACCAAGTATTGAACTCACCACCCCCTTGAGATCCTCATGACAGCACACTACTAATTCCTCACTCAAACATACATAAGGAAGACAAAAATGGAATAGTCACCTTACCTCAATTTCTGCAACTTCTCCTTATAACTTCAATTCTTTTAGAACTTTAGCTTCTCCTCACACTTAAACCAAAGAAGAAAGAAAGGTATTTTAATAACAAAAGAATTGAGCAGTAGTTGGTGGAAATATTCTGCCTTTGTAGTTATATTAGTGCATGAATAACATGTTTTCCTAATCATCCATGGGAGAATTAAGCTAAATCCATGAGTTTTAACTTAGCTTGGTTTGCAGATATTAGGATTTTTTCAAGAACAATAGAAAACCTTAAGGTTGCTGGTTTAATAAAGCAGCTCAAAAGGTCAAACTAGGTTTTCACCTAGTTTCTTTCACTTGGGATTTACCTATATTCGGCCTTGGCAGATTTGGCTGCTGGACTTTCTTTCATTTTTATTTTCTTTTAAAAGGTTTGCGCTTCAAATGAGTCCATTATATAATTCTAAATCTGGTCCATCAAGCTTGGACCCTTCAACAATATATATATAGCTCAAGTAGGTGATGCAGCTGCTAGCTTAATAAAGCCAAGAAGGCAGCTCAATTATTTTATTCCATTTTATGAATATTACATCCTTTTGCTTCAACATAAACTTAACTTTAAAATTTATGCTCAATTACCACCATATTATCTCTAGTTTAATACATCTGACAGAGTCAACTTACAGTAAACACACGGAAACGTGCATGACATGATACATCACTTTCCGGCTAGTTTAAACCAACACTAATCATATAAGGAACATGGTCCTTTACCTATACTACAAGGCCAGCAGTATCACAAGAATAGAACAAGCATATGCGCAAGACGAGCTGTTACATGTAGGGCTTAATGTTTTAAGGTTTAAGGTTTTAGGAGTTCTAAAAGGGTTTATCTTAGTGTTTCTAGTTATAGAGTTTTTAACGGTTTTTGAAGATTCATAGGTATAAATATAGTTAGGGTTTAGGGTTTCAAAAGTTTTTTTTTGAAAATTTATGATTTTTTTACAATTTAAGGGTTCTTAGGGCTTAAAGATTGGGTTTAGAACTTAGGATTTTAGATTTAGGGTTTTAAGGGGTAGGGGTTTTATGAGCTAGTTTTAAGTTTAGTGTTTCTTTAGGTTCTTTCAATGTCTAGGATTTCATAGGGTTTAAGGTTTCTTGGTGTTTCAAAAGGCCACTGGTGTTTAGGATTTTTCCAAAGGTTTAGGATTTGGAATTATGGTACAAGGTTTCTTAGGGGTTTTAGATTTCTTAGATTTAGGCTTTTAAAGGGTTTTACGGTATTGATCTATTAACTTTTATTATATGCCAACTCAAGGTTAGCTTGGGGTCACTCGTGATCCTATGTCCTATGTTACGTCAAGGGAGCAACCTCGAGGCATGACAAAAACTATGTTCGAATAGAAGCTTCAAACTGACTAGATATGCTGGGACATGCACCCAACTAACTCTAGCAAAAACATAAACTAAAATGAAAGACTTAATATAAAACATGTAAATCATTTTTGAAAAACGAGGACTTACCACTGATATTATTGAATACAAATCAAGAATTGATCTCTTCATGATCTGAAAGTTGAGGATCGTATCATCACGAGATGATGTAGCGTAGAATATGTGTCAGTACTTGAAATATATAGGATAAAGTTCAACATATATAATATGAACATTATGAATAAGGGTTTAGGTATTTGGTTATAAGTTTTAAGGTTAGGGTTTAGATTAATTGAATATATGGTCAAATTTAGAGGGACATTTACCTCTTTCCGAGCAGCGAATGATGCAACGGATTGAAGAACAATGACCTGACCACAAGCACAGCTTCACCTGGTTCCGACCAGACCCTAACGGAAAATCAAAAAGCTTTTTAAGTTCTTAATTTATGTATTTCTGGGAATTTTTTGTTTCTCCAATTTATTTATCTGATGGAGATTATCAAGATTTTGAGTGTCAAAAAATCCCCTGAAACAGTGTGAGGCTGATATAGGGGATGTTTGGGAAAGAATCAGATTCAAAAAGTGGTCCATTTTCACATTCAACAACCAGTGTATCCCAGAAATCGAAGAGGTTATCTTTGATGTTCTTGAAGCCCATTTTTGATGTTTGATAATCCTCAACTTCACCCTAACATCTAAAGGAGATTAGATAAAATTAGAATTGCAGGGCATCAAATTCCGGTTTAATGCATATTGAATTGACGCCAAAGAACAACACCGAAAAGAAAGTTCATGCTTAATGCATATTGAAGTGATGCCAAATAACATATTAAATAAGGAAAGAGAAAAAATAAAAAATGCACATTATCACAAGACATTAAAGATCACAAACACGGTATAGCAAGAAATCACAGAAATCAAGGCGGTTCTTATTCAATTAGTGTCCAAATAAACTGATCACTTAAAGCTATTTCCCAATCACAAACCAAAAGAATATATGACTATATGAGTATAGGTAACCATGAGGGGGAAGAAACAGACATGGGTGAGGTGGTTCAACAATTCTAAAGCGTAAATAGACTACCATGGATCGTTTAAGCTTGATTTAGCATAGTACCCAACTACAGACTATAGATACAGGCAAGAGTGATATGATTAAAATGCCATAAAATAGATTTTGAAACTATAAATTTAGCACAAAGTTCAAAGCAAACAACAGAGCTGAATAGTCATATCAGAATCTTAAATTAACTGTAATGCGTGAAAGGAACAGGCAAAAGATACTACTAAAAACAAAGTCCAAATCTAAAGCTTAATGACATATTAATTGAATCTAAGGTGAAATTTAGAGGGATATTTACCTCTTTTTGAGCAGCGATTGAGGTAACAGACTGAAAAACAATGATCTGACCACAAGCAGAGCATAAGAGGGTTCTGTGAGACCCAAAAGGAAAATCTCAAAGCATTTTTAACCTCTAAATGTATGTATTTTAGGAATTTTGTGTTACTCCAAGCCATTTCTTTGATGGAGATCCTCTAGATTTAGAGTATCAAAAAGTCCCCCCCCCCTGAAATGATGAAATTACAAGATTGGGGATGATTTGGACAGAATCAGGTTAAAAAAGTGGTCCATTTTCACATTCAGCAACCATTGTATCGCAGAAGCACACTACTATCTTTGAAGTTCTTGAAGTCCTTTTTTGAAGTTTGATAATCCTCAAGTTCACCCTGACATCCAAAGGAGATCAGGCAAAATTAAAGTTAAAGGTTCATGTATGAAATTCTAGTTTAATGCATAATGAACTGACGCCAAATAATAACACCGACAAGAAAGTTCATGCCTAATGTTTATAGAAGGGACACCAAATCACATATTACAACAACAAACCCAGTGGTTCCAAATAACATATTAAATATGGAAAGAGAAAAAACTATTTAAAAAAGCACATTATTGAAAGACATTAAAGACTACTAATGCAGTATTACAGAGATCTGCTCGGTTCTGATTCAATTAGTGTCCAAATACACTAACCATTCAAAGCTATATTCTAATCACTAATAAAAATAATAAATGACTATAGGAGAACATGAGGGGGAAGCAAGCATACATGGGTGACAAAAATTGATCTTTCTATTAAATGAAACAAGAAGTGTTACCTGTATGACAGCCATCAACAAAGCTCTGTCACTCCCCATCCTTTACAATATCTGGTGCCTTAAGAAGTAGTAAGTGTTTTTCCCATGTGATCCAATATCCAGAGGATTTTCTCAATTCCGAATACATATAAGGGCATCCATGATCAGCTTCCCAAGAATAGAAGTTGCTGCCATTGGATATATCTGATGAGTACACCAAAGCTTCTATCTCCATGGATGATTCAAGGGTTGCTTTCCTGAAAAACAGAAACTGTTAATAAAAAATAACACAACTTATACCAAGAAAAAAATATCAATTAACTAAAATAGAACACAGAAGGCACTAACAGGAGATAACTGAACCTAGAACTTTGTAATAATGCTCACCCTACATGCAGTTGACTTTAACGAAGACCTTCCGGAAATTTCATAGTAAAGAAGGACTCATGTAGATCAAACAATGAACTGTGCTTGTAGATAAGGAAGATGAAGATTTTTCCAGGATTGTTCCATAGTTTATGATACATTGTAGCCCTTAAGTTTGTAGATGTATGTTAAGAAGCAGAAATCCAATAACCTAAACAGTAAGTCAAAGAAGTTTAGTATTCGTAAAACTAATGAAAAAAGAATTTCTCAAACTAGGGTCTACCCACCTTGTCATCAATACTTCTGAAGTTCTCGAAAGTCTATGCAAGATATTTTTTTAATAACCAAGAAATTTGTGTATGAACCGCCCTTTGGACCAATTGTCCTTCTAAAATCGATGGATAATCGGCCTACCCCTTTACCCTTTTCCACTTAAAAATTGGGCTTCTCTTTGCATGATTAAGTTCACGAACGTGTGACCTGATTTTTAAGTTAAAAGGAGCAAGTAGGTGATGCACCTACTTAGAATTAGTGGACTGAATTTTAAATTAAAAGGAGCATGTAGGTGATGTAGCTACTTAGAATAAGTTGATTGAATTTAAGTGAAAAGAGAAGGTATCTAATGCATCTACTTAAAAACTTGTGGGAGAAATTAAGGAGGTGATGCACCTTCTTGTTTAAGGTAAAGGACAAAATTATTTCCCAATTTATTAAAGGGAAAACGTGAAAAATGGCCTCTAAAGCATCAATCTTATCATATCTCCTTCATATCACTTATTCTCCAGAAATTACTCCCAAGGAAAGCCATGGAAGCTCCAAGAGTTCTGGTCTATAACTTCACATTTACAATCTAAAACAAACCCATTATTTCAAAGTACAATCTTGTTGAACAACTCCCATCTTAAGGAATCCAAGTGAATAATATGATTTAACATCAAGGTAAGTCAGAGAGGACAACCTAAACATTAAATAATCCAAGTCTTGGAAAGTGATGTTTCTGCATAGTAAAGCAAACTGTGGAAATTTCAATCCCTCTCTTGTTATTGCATTATTTGTAAAAGTTTGCATGTGTTAATGAACTGAGGAGTGTCTCCTCCATATGGTTTGAGCTTGGTGAATGTTCAGGAATAAGGTGCTTGTTGGGACAGACATGGAGTGGAGTCCCCTTAAATTTTGATTTTGAGCTTGTTTTGAGAATCTAAATGTTAGTTGGAATTCACGGGATGTTGATCGGAAGTCATGAGTTCATATTTCTCTTTCCACATTCTGAGGCTTATGAACTGTTTTGTGTATCATAATAAAATAAGAGGGTCTTGCTGAATATGTGCATAAGTCATGAAAATTGGTTAGAGGATAAACATTGAAATTGTAGTGATACACCACTTAATTGAATGTTGCATGAGCTTACATCCTGCCATTCCTTTCATAATGTTTTATAGACGTGATGAAGCCTGAGGACTCTGGGAGGACCTTATAAAAATGACAAGTAGCCCAAACTTGTTTAGAAGCTAAGTTTTTATTATTTACTCCATTGTAGATAAATAATATTAAAGGAAGATGGTTAATTCATTGTGATATCCATTTTTGTGCACCAAGGTATGTAAGGCTATTCGATTTTGTATTTCCTTGGCATGAATATAACAGTTGTAATCTTTCCAATTGCTCTTGGAAGTGATTAATCCATATATGCAGTTTGTACTCCCTAGAGAATTAAAGTGAGCACTTTACGATAAGTTTGTTACTAAATGTGTGTGTTTTCCCTACCAGGTGTTAGAATGCAAGGTTTAAAACTTTATTCATTGTAAATTTACCTGTGGCACGTATTTCCCTTATATAATTCAAAGTGATCCTAGATTACACATGGTATATATGTTTACAGGATGGGTACACAATCTGCACATATCTTGCCAACTCGCTTCAATAGTCTATTCCATCATATATATTATCTTTTCACATGTTCATGTGTTACCTTTATTGGTTATTACTCCCATTATGTTAGACTATTATTTTGCCTCACAAGATGTCTACTTGCTCTATTGTACATTTATATGTATGTACTTACCTCAAATATGTATCCGTCCTTAAGTTGAATTTGTCCACATTCTTCCTTGGTTCCGCATTCATGTATGCCTTGTCATTTATATTAGTTGCTGAATATTTGGCTATCATAGAGTTAAAATCTCTTGGTTGAATATAATATGTCTTCACTTCGTATGTGCTTCAATTTGAGATGTCAAAAATTCATACTGAGTCATAGAAGAAGTATTACGTAGGTGTCACATTTGCTTCCCACGTCATTGTTATAATCGTAAGTCCATATTTGTATGTCTTCTACTACTGGTTTGTAGTTCAAAATCTCAACAATGATTATGAATACCAAAAGATCAATCACGAATGAGTTATTATTAACAAAAGAACAATCTTAAAGAGTTATAATAATCCAATGTACAGTCTCAAAAGAGTTATGAACATCAAATCAACAATCTCAAGGATTAAAAAAATAAAATAACCTATGTAAAGCAATTTAAAAATTATGTGTGGCAGTCCAGGTGAAAAGCCTAGGATGGGTGGATCCCAATTGGTATAGTAGGGTGGTATCTCAAGGGCAAAATCCTAGCATGGGCCGATCCCAATTTGTAGAATTATGATGACATCATCCCAGGGGTTAAATTACCTAGCATGGGTCATCCTCTCCTACCACTGATCAGTTGGTCACTTGTATCATATGGCTTACAAAATTTATAATGCCCAGAAGAGTAAACAAAAGAATATAACATACATAATTCCACAAGTATAAGTAAATGTGGTCTCTAATCCTTATCTATTGACATTTGGTTTCACTTGAGCTCTCATGTCACATATGGTTGTATTATGCCTTACATATTCGTTACACTATTTTATACTGACATCACTTATTTGGGATGCTGCATTTCATGTTGCAGGTACAAGTATTCAAAAGAAGATCTGCCCAATAGAAGCACATGATACTCAGTCACTTTTGGTGAGCTCCAGGTTGATTTGGGGCTTTGTTTTGTCTTTACTGTGTGTAGTTTCGTAGAATGGATTCTAATAGAGTGTTTGTAGATATTGTAAAGCTGTCATCTAAATTAATAGTTTCACTTGTCACATGTATTGGTTCAGCTAGTCAATATGTATTTCATAAGTAGTTTACTTTCTGATCATAGGTTACTTGTAAAAAAATTTGTTCATAGGGTACTTGTCTGCCTCACCTAAGGTTGGGGTGTGACACAAGGGCTGCTGATTTTTTATAATGGAAAAAAATTTGTGGCGCAATAAAGAAGGGCATCCGCCATTTACAGAAAGTCCCATTCACAGTGGTATTGCCTCATGTATGGGTGACCTTTTCCCATTTGGGGTAAATTCCTTTGCTTGAAAGCTAAATCATCAGTATATCTTAGAAGACCCTAGAAATCCCCCAAAATAAGAAGAAACTCTACTAAAATGAACCTTTTCAAGTTTTCCCTACATAAAAAACAGACAAGAATTTGTAAATATGTAAACTTCCCAAGTATTTAAATCTAATAACACACACAGACACACACACACACACAAACAAACACAAACACACACACACACACAAACACACACACACACACACATATATACATATACATATATATATATATATTAGTTTTCATTCTTACCAGATGAATAATGAATAACACATGGATTTGATCCGCATAAACTTAATATAATACAATGTTGAAAAGGAGAACCCGTTAAGTTTTTAAAAGAAAAAGTCCTCAATCTTCTATTTCTTGTCGATACTGAGGTAACTCCAAGAAACAGAAAACATAGATGAGAAAAGTTTGTTCAAAATCCACTGCAAAAACCCTATAATTTGTTTACAGTGGAAAAGAAGGATGAAATTAATATGGAGGTTTGATTTGCTTTGGTTTTCTCCCAGCTTCGAACGGACAAAGAACTAAAGAAAGAGAAGTCTGTGTGTGTATATGGTGGTATCAAACAAAATGAGAAAAGGGACAAATAGGAAAACTTACTCTTAGCTGTGCAAGACAACAATGTGCAACTCGAACATAAGCCTAATGAAAAGCACAAAATTAGAGTTATATGTAAAACAATAATACTATGATAATGGGATATATATGCAAGCAATAAAATGAATTATGGTGACTTAGTTCTGAAGGGAAGTATCACCCATTTCGTCGCTGGCCTACTAAAAAGAAAAAGTTATGCACTTCATTGTACATTGCACATAAATTTCAAGATAGTATTTGTCAGCCCCAACCCTGAGTGAGGCGGAAAACTACCTTATGAACACATGATTTACAAGTAATCTATGATGATAAATTAGACTACTATGGATATTATTGATGAAGCTTCAAATACAACACATTTTTACTAGCTGAACCACTATATGTGACAAGTGAAACTATGAATACAGATGATAACTTTACAATGTCTAAAAAGCCTTTACTGGAATCCATGACGGTATCACTATGAAAATACAAACAGTAAAGACTCGGAAAAGCCCCGAATCAACCTGGAGCTCACCAACATCCGCTGAGTATAATGTGCTTCTATTGAAAAAATCTACAAGTTGAGTACTTGTACCTGCAGCATGAAATGCAGCGTCCCCAATAAGGGACTTCAGTACGAAAGAATGTACTGAATATGTAAGACATAATACAACCATATGTAACATGAGAGCTCAAGTAAAACCAAATACCAATAGATAAGGATTAGAGACAACCTTTTCTTTGTACTTGTGGAATCGTGCATGTTACATTCTTTTCTTTGCTTCTCTGTACTTTATAATCTTTATATAACATATGATACAAATAACAATTGACCAACGGTAGAAGAGGATGACCCATGCTACACATTTTAACCCCTGGGATATTATCCTCATAATTCTACAAATTGGGATTGGCCTATGCTAGGATTTTGCCCCTGAGTGTCCACCCTTCCATACCAATCGGGATCAGCCCATGCTAGGCTTTTTCCCCTGAGCAGCCACCCTTCCATACCAATTGAGATCAGCCCATGCTAGGCTTTTTTTCCCCTGAGATACCACCCATAATTATATTGATCACTCCACTTAGATTCTTTTATCTTTGGGATTGTTGTTTACTAGTTCATAACTCTCTTAGGATTGTTCTTTAGATAATCATAACTCTTTTGAGATTGTTCTTTTAGATTTTTAGAACTTGTCTGTGATAATTGTTTTGGTGGTCATAACCCTTATTTAGATTTGGAACTACAAACAAGTAGTAGAAGACATATGAATATGAACTTACGATAATAAAAATGACATGGGAATCAAACGTGACTTGAACGTACTACTTAGGAGCTTATATGACTCGATAAGCATTTTGACATCACAAATTAAAGCACATACAGTGAAGACAATTTAACATTCAGCCAAGATATTTGAACTCTATATGATACAAATACAAGATGTTCATGCATGTGGAACCCAGGGGAAAATAGGGAAGATTCAACGTAAGGAAAGATACTTATTCCAAGTAAGTAATAATCGTGCAATTCAGCAAGTAGTGATCATCAAAGGTAACCTCATTGTCTAAAACAATGGGTGTAGTAACAAGGAAGGGAACATATGAACGTGTGACAATATGGCATATCTATAAACAATTGGAGCAAGTTGGCAAAATATAGGCAGATCATATATCCATCCTATAAATATATTTACCATGTGTAATCTACGATCACTTTGACTTATATAATGGAAATACGTGCTAGGGTGTGTTGACAATGAAACAAGTTTAAACTTTCATACTAACACTTGGTAGAGTAAACACGCACATTTAGTAATAAACTCATATTAGAGTACGCATTTCAATGCTCTAGGGAGTAGGAACTGTAACTAAGGATCAGTCACTACCATGGGCACTTAGAAAGCTTACTTTATGTAATGCATGTTTTTGATTCATGACAAAGAAATAGGAAATCAATTAGCCTTACATACCTTCCTAAAGAATTCAAAACGTATGACTTAAGCTCCTTCTCTTCAGATCACTAATCTACAATGAAATAAGTTGTAAGACTAGTATTAGTAGCTACTCAATCAATTTGAGCGACTTGATCACACCTAAATAGTAACGAAGCAGTAAGCTGCAATCTATCTAGCCAGGGCTTTCTTTCCTTCCCTATCCTATTAATCGCGTCTATATACTGTAAAACCTTCATAGAAGGTCCCCCTCAAAACTCCCTACAATATTTATGACCTTTAATGTCTCCATTACTTCCCCGCACATCCGGTCATATCCCTTATAATAACAAACATAAAATGATCTTTGAACATAATAATGTAATTGAAGTAATATGAATCATGGTTTCTGATCACCAGCATTAGAAGAGCTAACATTGCTTTTAAAGTGTTCAAATAAGCTCATATCTTAATTTAAAGAGGACTCCCCACCATAGTTGTCCCAATATGCACTAATAAGCAGAAAATCCTCCCAAAAATATCCATCATGTAAAAGTAACAATTTCCAACTCACTAACACATACCAAGTGTCCTAATTAACTGACGCAGAAGAGGGAGAAAATTGCAGTAGCTAACCTTGCTGGACATACCTACCACTTGCTAAAACTTGAATTCTTGAAGGTAAAGGTTGTCCTCCTTAACTTGTCTCAAATTATACCTTTCAATAGCTTGAAATACCTATTATTCAAGAAACCTAATGGTATATAATGGTTGTTGTATGAATCTAAGAGAGAGAAGAGAAAGCTCTAGATATAATATTTTTCTCAAAAGTAAAAATGGTTTGAAAAAAGCTTATATCAATCTCTTTTAAAGAGACCTGTTTTAGCCGACTTTGTCACTCATTTTGGGCCATAATTTGTCAAGTATGTGACCCACATAGTTGAAACATTTTAACATTTGTGACTTAAGAATATTGGCCCTTCTGCCACCTTTCATGTACTTCTTTTGCAGCCAACAAGTCTCTATAATTTGGGAAACACATTTAAGTAGGTGATGCACCTAGTTTTCCATTAAAAATATTTCTTGTGGGCTTGGGAAGACTGGTCCTTGGCTTTCCATGTTCCCCTTATTCTTCTATTGAATTTGGGCTAAATTAATGCAAATAGTTGTAGTGTAATTTGCCCAATAACACAGTCAAAAGAGTCTTAGTAGGTGATGCACCTACTTGGTGTGGTCAATAAGTCAAAGTAGGTGATGCACCTACTTGGTGTGGTCAATAAGTCAAAGTAGGTGATGCACCTACTTGTCACCTACTATCTTACTGAAATCAAGCAATCACCTTAATATTTTATTCCCTTTCCAGACCTTAATAACTTTAACATAACTTAGAACTTATATACACTACGTCACTTTATACTTTACACTTAGATACCAATTCATGATCTCAAGTTTAAATACTTCCATCAACATCAACTAATTGGCTAGCATCAAAATCTATGGACAATTTACTTTAAACCTATTCTATTGCCATTAGTTGCCTATGAAACCGAATCCATAACTATACCACAAGGCAGTTAATAAGCATAATATAAATAAGACTAGTATACGCAGAATACGGGGTGTTACATCCTCCCCCTCTTATGATCATTCGCTCTCGAATGATATGTGCACCTAGTAGTTCAGCTAATACTTGAAATTCATATAGAGATTTATGAGAATCCCTATTGTAAATAGGCAGGACTATCTAAAATCAATAAACTAACCTAAAATATGTATAGACAAATCTAGCATGACGTTTTGATATATATGATTCATGAAATAGTACTATGAAAAGTAAACCCCTTCTTTACCATGTAAGTCACTAAAGATATACAAGTAGGACTCATATAAATAAGGACTGTAATATACCTAAATACAAGACACACAAATGACACAGCAAATGACACAACAAATGAATATATTCTAGTAGGATTCATGATCATATAAGGGGACCGCATGATCTTAGATCCTTATGTTGATGTTTAGAATGAGGGAGGTTACTTAGTATCTCTCTACCATGTTCTACTCTGAAGTATCTTATGTTATATTCTATTCCTTCCCAAATACTTATGGTTACACATTCTGAGCTTAGCTTCCGGGCCTTAACAATTAAGAATAACTATAGTTTCTCCCAATTTTTTTATATATGAACGGACACATAAAATCATAGGCTATTGGGGCAACAGTTTCCTTTCTCTTTGATTTCATGATGCTTTTCAGAGGGGAGTCTTTATGAACGCATAGTTGTAAATATAAATCTAAGTTTTATGCCGCACCTGCTAATATTGTATTATGCTAAGTTATTTATCTATAGTTGATTAAATTTACAAATACGACCAACTTTTTCAGGTCAAAATTATCAGTACATGATGATATAAGAAAATATATTCCAAAATTGTTCAAAACTGAAATCAATAAGCATAGAGAGGGGTATAGTATACGGATGAATAAGTCACATTGGGCATGGCACATAGGTAGACTAGCCCAAAAGGGAGAGCGCAAGGTATACGTTCATTAAGCTATAGAAATACATGGTGTACGTGTGCATATGAGTTATAGGGTATCGTGTGAGCGAATGAACTATAGGGAATGTACAAATGGACTAGATGATCACATAATGCATGAGTACATAAGCTAAGACATGTAGTAGATATGACATGTAGACATATCAGAAAATGAACTACAGAACCTAAATCACATTGAGCAAGTGCATTGTATTGCATGGATAAGTAGACTAACATGTCAATGAGCACAAATCTGAAATATGAGTAAGTCAGCACATAAGACATTGCCTGAAAAGCTATACAGCCTGAAGTGTTTGAGCAAGTAGGAACTTTGTATGCAAAATATGTAGAAATGGTCATATGATTAATTAGCATGCATTACCCGTACAATATGGACAAGTGGCATGTGGGAAGTAACCAGTGCAATAAATAACATGTAAGGAAAAGTTCCTATGAAAACATCATTAAACAAGGGTGATGTGAAGCGGACAACTCTTGCATGTAGCCATTCCATGACGTTAGGTAACCTGTGAAAAGGAAAACCACAAATGGAAAATGACATACAAATAGATAAGTTATAGAACATGCAGCATGTATAATTATATTAAAAAAATCACCTTTGGAAACTACGATATATATTATAGAACCACGCTATCATTCTAAGGTAAACAAACTGTCTTAAGGGTTTAAGTTACAAGTGGGATAGTTTTGCTCATATTCCTAGCTCACCTCAAAACACATACAATTGATATCCCATGTACTCTCTCCAATAAGTGTTCTGCTATTGGAACAGAGCTTCCGTCTAGGTCAATATAAATAGTACGGTCAAGATAGAAAAAGAAAATCATCAAAAAAAATAGTTCATCTTTTAGAGTAGGAGGCCGACGTCTATTTTGACTTTATGACTAGCTTGTGTTATATCACACTCAATGCCTGATGCCCTTGAAGGTCAAAAAAGATAATAAATAATGAAGCTTGAACTCACCATGAAATATGAACTCTAATAACATGTAAATGTCAGGTACCTATAAAGTTATATCATGATTCATAACGTCTTAAAGTAAGCCGATTTGGGCTTAACTAGATAGGTTTGGACATACTAAAAGATTTCTTACCTTTTTTCATAACAAGTGAGGGTGCTCCGACTCTTTTCCCATGCAAGATAGAAAATAAGAACAACTAGAAATATGCAAATGATCAATTTTTTTCATTTCCCTTAACTGGACAAGGACTGATGAGTTACTGTAGGCATATCTAAAATGAAACCGGTAATATCTCTATTCAATTTGATAGAAGTCTATACATATGTATATTTTTTTACTTCTATATTTACTAATGATGTGGATGAAGTAGGTTCATCTTCTATCTAGGTAACATGAAATTCACCTCCTTTTTTCTTGTTGCTATCAAGACTAAATATCAAAACTTGAATAGATACTAAATTGACCTCTATGTGTGACAAATGTTCACAAAATTGTTCCAAGTGCACCATTATAACATGTTAGCGTTGAAGAGTTGATAACATTTTCTTACCGCATACACTTTAGCAATCAGTCTCTCATAACCTCCTATCTCACTCCTCTATAGCATCTTTATATCACCCCTACTCCTATGTTTAGGCAATTTGACATATTCCATCTCTTTCTAATGAGAAGTTGTCTGTATATATTCGGCCTGTGTAATTTAAGCTTCATTATCACAAGCTTCCTATCTAACAAGTAACTTTTTTTAAAAACTAGCAGCTTCATGTACTAGATTCCATTATGTTCAACCAACTAATCATAACTTAGTTGTAACCAGTTAATTTTATTTTCGTTATCGTTACCCTTTAAGCACATAGTAGTTCATTATAGCCAACACATAGATCATAAAAGGAACCACCACACATATATCATTTGAAGCAATTGGGACTCTTATCCCTAAGTTTTATAATAATGAAAAGAATACAACTGTTATAAGTACTTATTCAGGGCTGTTGGCCCATACCATATAAAGGCCTATCATTAACATACTCGGGAGGACATACGGTGAGAATAACCTTTGTCATCCAATTGGGGGTATTTATAGTAAAACTATTGCAATGATAGATCCACTTATAAAATTGTGCCACTTCTTCTTTGAACTAAATGAAAATAGTTTGACTACATCAATTTTGAGAAGTTGTGTAACACTTAAAATTTTATGTATATCAAAGACTAAGAGCAACTATCCTCTATAGGAATAAATCCTATAAGCATGGAGGAAGTACAGAACTCAAGAGATTGTTACATCCTCCTAAGAAGATGTTTCTGGAAATGCTACAACAAATATATGTAACTAGGTAACAAATCATTTTTGAACCAACGTGAAAATTTTAATGCAAATAACATAAAAGCCAACATACCTTGTGGAGTGAGATGAACGGAAAAAATTAGCTCAATCTAGTCAAACTTTTGGTAACTTAAGGTCCTTTCTGTATGTTACATGCTGACACATTAACAACCACTAACCTTAAAAATAGTTTATATAGCATGATCCGGTACAACTGGAAATTGGATTCTTAACTTTGCTCTATCGCACGAATAGGATTATGAAGGAAGGTAACATTTCCTAAGTGTCCAAGAAGCCCCCTAGTTATAAACATGGCGCGCAACACATTCATAACTAAGGGTCTACTGAACACGACTTTGTAGACCCCCTAGGACGAACTAATATGATACCACTTTGGTCAGCCCCCAACCCTATGCTGAGAAAGTAAAATACTATGCAGCTTAATGATTAAGCTTCATACACAACACATTTTTACTAGCTGAACCGCTATATGTGACAAGTGAAACTATGAATAGAGATGATAACTTCACAATGTCTACAAAGCGTCTATTGGAATACATGATTGTACCAATATGAAAATACGCATCCTAAGGACTCGGCAAAGCCCCGAATCAATCTGGATCTCACCAGCATGAAATGCAGCGTCCCCAATAAGGGACGTCACCACGAAAGTATGTATTGAATATGTAAGGCATAATATAACCATATGTTACATGAGAGATCAAGTGAAAACAAAATATAATAGATAAGTATTAGAGATAACCTCTGCTTTGTACTTGTGGAATCATGCATGTTACATTCTTTTCTTTACTTTTCTGTACTTTATAATATTTATAGAACATATGATACAAAGAACAGTTGATCAGCGGTAGAAGATCATGACCCATGCTAGACATTTTAACCCCTGGGATGTTGTCCTCATAATTCTAAAAATTGGAATCGGCCCATGCTAGTCTTTCGCCCCTGAGCTACCACCATTCCATACCAATTGGGATCGGCCCATGCTAGGCTTTTGCCCCGAAGCTGCCACCCTTCCATACCAATCGGGATCGGCCAATTCTAGGCTTTCTCCCCTGAGTAGGTGTATCACCTACTTGCTCCTTTATAATTAAGTCCACTAATTCTAAGTAGGTGCATCACCTACTTGCTCCTTTTAACTTAAAATTCAGTCTACTACTAAGTAGGTGCATCACCTACTTTCCCTTTTTCACTTAAAAGGCAGTCCACTAATTCTAAGTAGGTGATCCCTACTTGTCACCTACTGGCATATTTTAGTCAAGCAAGCACCTTAATTATTTTGGACCATTTTCCCCATCATCAATTCTTTACAAGACTGTAGTACTATATACACACTTGACCATTTTGACTTTTATATCGAATACCACCTTTTACTATCCCAAGTGTGAATTTTTTTGTTCAATTATTCCTATGTGTGTTGGAAGGAACGATTTATTACTACTTCAAACATATTCTATTGTCACTATTCACATACGAAACAGAGTCCGTAACTATACAACGTGGAAATTTTTAAGCGACATATACATAGGACTAGTTCACGTAGAATATCGGGTGTTACATCCTTTCCTCCTTATGATCATTTGTCCTCGAATGATGGGTGAAGCTTATAGTTTGGTTAACCTAGGAATTTCATTTGGAGATTTGTAAGTGTTGCCATTATAAAGACTATGCACAATCCATAGACTAATCAAAAACATGTATAGACAAGTCTAGAATGAAGTTTCAATACATATGTTTCATAAAATAATATAATGACAAATTAAACCCCTTTCTTGACCATATAATTCACTGATGATTGTAACGGTCTGTATTATATATATGCTAGTTCTATTCTTGTTATACTTTACATAGACTTATAGTGTAGGTGAGGGATCATGTTTTTTATATGATAAGTATTGTTTTAATCTAGCATGCAAGGTGATCTAATCTCTTTCATGTTTCAGCATGTGTATTGCAAGTTAAATCTGACGGAAAGTATTTAAGTAAATATAGTAAGGTGGTACTTGAGCCTAAAGGTGAAAGTTAAGTGCTAGGTTTAAGAAAAGGGATTAACATTCAGAAATTGAAATAAAATATTTGAGCTTCTTGCTTGTCTTAATTGAGCTAGCAGCTGCATCACCTACTTGAGCTATAATGTAGTTAAAGGGCCCAAGTTTGAATTTAGGCTTATATTAATGGACTCACTTGAAGCCCAAACCTATTGAATTAATAAATAAAAAAAAGCCCAGCAGCCAAATCTGCCAATTAGCCCATTATGGATAAAGCTCAAGTGAAACTAAGTAGGTGCATCACTTACTAGGAATTTTTTTACAATGTAATTGGCCCAATGTGTATCACTTACTTGCATTAATCTGTCCCAAGTTGAACAAAAGAACATAGGGAAAATGGACAGCCAAGGCCCAATAATATAAAGTCCAAAAAGGCCCAAGTTAAAAGGCCAAGTAGGTGGGTCACCTACTTGACAATATATGGCCCAAAATTGGCCAAGAAAGTCGGCCATAGAACCTCCCTTTCAAAGGATAAAGATCCAGTCATTTTCTCCATTTAAAACTTGCAAAATTTTTAGTTTCCTTAAGTTTCTTTCTTGGTCTCTTGGCTTCAACAATAGGCCCTAACACACCTTAGGGTTCTTGAGTATTGTCTCATTTTCAAGTAAAAGTTTGAAGGAGAGTCTGAATTCTTGAAGTACAAGTTAAAAGTACAAATTTCCAGAATTAAGGTAAGACTATAACCCATTTGTTTTCCTCTCTTTTAATACATGTTTGGAGTGGAGAATTTTGTATCCATTTATCAAGAAGTTATGGATTGTGATAAATCCTTGAGTCAATATTCCCCTGTTATGTTGAAAGATTTGAGATTGATAATGGTTGCCTTATAATATTGTTGTTGAGGGCAGCTTAGGTATCTTGGGAGAGGATGTATGAAGTTGTATTAATGTGTAGAGGAATGTGGTGGTTCACCAGTTGTGTAAGGGTTGTATGGGCTTGCTTTCCGTCAAATATTTTAGAAACTATTTTTGAGGACCTTAATGTGATTAGCTGCTATCATGACTTATGTTGTAGATTAGCACCCAAAAAGGAAGGCTGAATCGTGATAGTGGTATTGGTCAGAAAATATAGTATGTAAGGTTATTCAATACCATATTCCTTGGCATGAAATCTGACACCTGTATTTAAAATCAATGAAGTGAATCTCCTAAGTTTTATTCCTAGTAAAAGAAACAATAGCAGTGTACTGACTCCAAATAGCTAGTATATCCATCCCCCCATCCGAATTATATAGAAATACTTCATTATATGTTTACTACTCTATTCTTGTGTAATTGTCCCCCCTTGTGCTTTTATAGAAATGGTATTTGCAAAAGAATGTTTGGTGAATCCCTCTCCTAGACAATTCAAAATTGTGTCATTAATCTCTTAACGTAATGTGTTGATGTTACATAACTCCTTATGTCATTGTTACTGCTTCAAAGTATTATTTTTCATGTCTTCTACTACTGGTCCGTATTTCCATATCTCCAATATGATTATGACCACCAAAACAACATCTCAAAAGTGTTATGAGTATCCAAAGACCAATCCCAGAAGAGTTTTGAATTAATAAAAACAATATCAAAGATTAAAGAATCTAAGTGAAGAAATTTGTATTATTACGGGTGGCAGACCAGGAGCAAAAACCTAGCATGGGTCGATCCCTATTGGTATAGAAGGGTGGCAGCTCAGGGGCAAAAGCATAGCATGGGCCGATCCGAAATTGTGTAATTTGAGGACCGCATCCCAAGGGTTAATATGCCTAGAATGGGTCATCCTCTTCTACCACTGATCAGCTAGCCACTTGTATCACATGCCCTACAAATATTATAACATATAGAAAAATAAAGGAAAGAGCGTAATTTACATGATCTCACAAGAGTAAATAAAGGTGGTCTTCTGTCCTGATCTATGCACTCATATGTTGGTAGTTGATTTCAGTTGAGCCCTTGTATTACATATGTTTTTGCCTTACATATTCAGTACATTTTTTTACTGACGTCCGTCACGGTGAATTTCATGCTGCAGGCACAAGTACTCCACCTAGTAGACCTCCTTTGTTGGAGCACACAACAGTAAGCAACCTTTGGTGAGCTCCAGGTTGATTCGGAGCTTTACTGATTCCTTTGTAAATTCGTTTTTGATATTGTATCGTAGTTAAGGGTAAGGCGAGGTCTGTCCGGACCTACTCTGGGTATTCTATCTTCTTAGAGGCTTTGTAGACGTATGTACATAGTTGAGTTGTCTCTTAAGGAATTGTGTCCTTAATGACCAAGTCTTGTATATAACATTTGAGTCTACATATGTTGGCTGGGATCATTGCGTCCTATGTGAACTCATCACGATTGTTACAGTTATATGCATAGTAAGAACAGATTAAACATGGATCTCCCGGGCCTTTAAGGCATCGGGGTCCTATCCGTCTTAATGAGATTTGAGGCGTGAGAAAAGTGGTATCATAGCAGGATATCCTAGGGAGTCTATGAAGTCGTGTCTGTGTAGAGTCTTGCTTATGGATGTGTCGTGCACCACATCTATAAACATGTGGGACATGTAGGAGTTGTCTCATTTCTTTAACTTCTTAGATCGTGCAATAGAACCTATGTTTTAGGTGAATCATATCTAATTTCTAAATTGTTTTACTATAGCAAATATGCCGGTTACGAGAAATAGTAAAAGTATTGGTAAGCGAGTAGATGTGGCTGCCCATAGAAGGGACTAGCCAACCACCACCATGTCAAGTTGTTCAAAGTGGGGCTCAAGATGAGTCTCTATCACAGACTTCCCTGATTTTTTCATCTCCTGAACAACTAAGGAGGGAAGCTGAACCTCATAAACCCCCTATTAATGCTACCGAGAAAGATTTGAGGAAGGCAGTCTAACTATTAACTCGTATAATTGCTAGTCATGGACAAAGGCAACAAGGTCTTGCTGCAAGTACTCTTGGTGATAGAGCAGCTGGAACGTGGATACATGATTTTCTTAACTTGGACCCTCCATAATTAACCAGGTCAGATCCTAATGAAGATCCGTAAAGACTTTATAGATCAGATCAAATGCACTTTGGATATTATGCATGTAAGTGGTAAAGAAGCACTTGAGATAGCTACAGAGATTAAAGGGTGTGTCTATATTGTGGTATGAAGCTTGGAAGAATCTAGGGGAACAAATGCACCTTCAGCTACATGGGAAGAGTTCAAAAAGGCATTCCTTGATCATTATCTGCAATTGCAGATTCGAGAGGCCTATGTGGATCAGTTCTTAAATCTCCATCAAGGAAATATGAGCGTAAGATAGTATAGTCTCAAATTACTAAGTCTTTGGTTAATATATTTTTGATATTGTATCGTAGTTAAGGGTAAGGCGGGGTCTATCCCAACCTACTCTAGGTCTTCTATCTTCTTAGAGGATTTGTAGACGAATATACATAGTTCAGTTGTGTCTTAAGGAGTTCTTGCCTCAACAGCCAAGTCTTGTACAAAACTTTGATTCTACTTATGTTGGTTGGTATCTCTGTGTCCTATGTGAACTCGTCACAATTGTTACAGTTATATGCATAGTAAGAACATGTTAAAAGTTGGTTCTATAGGGCCTTTAGGGAATCGGGTGCCTGTCCGTCTTAATGGGATTTGAAGCACGATAATTATACACAAATGGAACTCATACAAATGAAGAATTCAATACACCTACTAAGCTGAAGACATGCAAATGACATATCAAATGAACAAATGCTAGTAGGACTTACGATCATATAAGGGGACCACATGACCTTAGTCATTATATTGATGTTTTGAATAAGGAGGGTTATGTAGCATCTCTACCATCTTCTATTGATGTTTTGAATGAGGAGGGTTACAGAGGATCTCTACCATCTTCTATCCCCAAGTATCTTATGTCATATTCTTTTCCTTCCCCAATACTTCAATGGAGGTTACATATTTTGAGCTTAGCCTCTAGGCCTTAACAATCAAGAATAAGTATAGTATCTCCCAATTTTTTTGTATATGGAATGGACACATAAAATCATGGGACTAACCTATAGGGGAAGTAGTTTCCCTTATCTTTATCTCATGAACATTTTTTGAGGCTCATCTTATAAGATCGCCTAGCTTTTAATATAAAATCTTAAGTTTTATGCCATACCTTTGAATAGGGCATTATATGCCCAATTTTCTTGTCAAAATCTTCACAACATAATGTTAAAAGGAACTGTTTTGACGAATTTTATTCAGATTTCAAATCAGTAAGCACAAAGAGGCATAGTATGCAGATGAATAACTCACATTGGACATGACACAATGGCAGAAGAGCCCAAAAGAGAGTGTACAAGGTATACGGGCATTAATATATAGGAATACATGGTGTATGTGTGTATATGAGCTGTAAGGTAGTGTGTGAGCGGATAAACTCTATGGAATGTAAGGATGGATTAGATGATCACATGATGCATGAGTACATAAGGTAATACATGTAGACTATATTGAATGTAAACATACAAGAAAATGAACTATGGAACACAAATCACATTGAGCAAGTGTGTTGTATCGCATATATAGGTCGACTAATATGGAAATGAGTACACATGAAAAATGAGCAAGTGAAGACATATGGTTTATGATGCAATGACATGTCAACAAGTGGTATGTGATTAATATAACCCACGAGCACTAATTTTTCCAATACAATATGATCATTTAGCCTGCAGTACCCACACAATATAGACAAGTGACATGTGGAAAGTAACCAGTGCAATAAATAACATGTAGGGAAAGGTCCTACAAAAACATATGACAGTAAACAAGGGTGCTCTTACTCTTTTCTCATGCAATATAGCAAATAATAACAACTAGCATATGATCAATTTTTCCTCTAACTTAACCAGACTATGATTGATAAATTAGTGCATGCATATTGATGGAAGTCTATACATGTGCTTGATGCTCTACTTCTCTTTGATACTAATGATGTGGATAAACTTGTCCCATGTATCTTCTATCTAGGTAACCATTCTATTCACCTTTCTTTTTCTTACTGTTATCAGGACTTCTATTAATACTAAACTAACTTCTCTATCTAACAAAGGTTTACAAAGTTGTTCCATGGTGCACCATTATAACTCGTTAGAGTTGAAAAAAATTAATAACATTTTCTTGGCGCATACAATTAGCAATCACTGTTTCATTCACCTATCTCACTCCTCTATACTATCATCATATCACTCCACCTATGTGTAGGGAATTTGACATATCCTAACTCTCAACTTCATTCTCACATGCTTCCTCTCTAACAAGTACCTTCTGATCAAAATTAGTAGCTTCATGCACTCTGATCCCACTATGTATAACCTGACTAATTACAAAATAGGTCTAACAAATCGATTTTCCTTTTGTTAACCTTAACCTTTAGACATATACCAATTCTCTGTAGCTAAAACATAGATCATAATATGAACTGCCATACGTATATCATTTTCAGCAATTGGAACACTTATCATAAGTTTTATAACCATGAACGGAATACAAATGTCATGAGTACTTATTCGAGTTTGTTGGCACATACCATATAAATGTCAAACATTAACATACTTGGTATGACATACGGTTATAATTTGAACCTTGCCAACCAATTAGGGGTATCTCTAGTAACACTATTTCACTGGTACATCCACCTACAAATTGAGAAACTAGTTTAACTACATCAATTTTGAGAACATATGTAACGCTGACAATGCGATGTAATATCAAAGACTAAGAACAAGTGTCCTTTATAGGAATAGATCCTGTAAGTATGGAAGAAATATAGAACTCAAGAGCTTATTACATCCTCCTAAGCAGATAGGCCTGGAAATGCTACAACAAATATATGTAAGTAGGTAACAAATCATTTTTTAACCAACATGATGCAAATTTTACCGATATAACTTTAGATGCAAGTAACATAAAATCTTTTACAACTGATATAGTCGAATAAAATGAGCTCAATCTAGTAAAACTTTTGTTAATTTGATGTCTTTTTTGTATGTCACATGTTGACACCTTAACAACCATTAACCGTAACCATAATTAATATGAATAGCACGATTTGGTACAACTGGAAATTGGGTTCTTAACTTCGCTTTATCGCACGATCAGTATAATGAAGGAAGGTAACTTTTCTAAATTTCAAAGCAGCCCCCTGATTATAAATGTGGCGCGCAACACATTCATAACTAAGTCACTACTAGACACATCTTTGTAGACTCCCTAGGATGACTTTGATACCACTTTTATCACACCCCAACCCTAGGTGAGATGGACTAGTACCCTATGAATATAGGTTTTACAAGTAACCTATGATGAGAAAGTAAACTATTATGCAGATTACTGATGAAAAGCTTTATATACAACACATGTTGACTAGTTGAACCAATACATATGACATGTAAAACTATGAATACAGATGATTGATAGCTTTACAATATCTACAAAACCTCTATTGAGATCCATGCTATGAAAATATGCATAGTAAAGACTCGGCAAAGCCCTGAATCAACCTGGATATCACCAACAACAGCTGAGTATCATGTGCTTCTATTGGGGAGATCTGATTTTTGAAAACTTTTACCCCGATGTAACACCCCGTATTCTACGTGAACTAGTTCTATCTATATGTCGATTAAAAATTCCTTGTGGTATAGTTATAGACTCCATTTTTCGGATATGTGTTGAAAGGCACGAGGTATTTCAACTTCAAACATATTCTATTATCACCATTCACACGGAAAACAATTATTTGTATATGTCATAAAAGGCACGAGGAATTACAACTTCAAACATATTTTATTGTCACCAGTCGCATAGAAAACAGAGTCTATGACTATACCAGAAGGAAATTTTTAAGCGACATATACATAGAACTAGTTCACGTAGAATATGGAGTGTTACATCGGGGTAAAAGTATTCAAAAGTAGATCTCCCCAATAGAATCACATGATAGTCAATTGTTGTTGGTGAGCTCCAAGTTGAATCGGGGCTTTGCCGAGTCTTTACTAAGCGTATTTTCATAGCATGGATTCCAATAGAGGCTTTGTAGACATTGTAAACCTATCAATCACCTGTATTCATAGTTTTACTTGTCACATGTATGGGTTATTTAGTCAATATGTGTTGTATATAAAGTTTTTCATCAGTAATCTGCATAATAGTTTACTTTCTCATCGTAGGTTACTTGTAAAGCATGTATTCATAGGGTACTTGTCCATCTCACCTAGGGTTGGGGTGTGACAAAGTAAAACACATAACACCGCCACCATAAGTGGACCATGCAAATCAAAACATAATTGAAGTCTAATTAACATAAAATAAACGGAATTAGGACAGTGTACCACCATTTCATCCTCAACACTTCAATCCAATGTTAAACCATCCAATTCAATACAATAAGGCCCTTACCCATGACCATAACCAATAATTCAATATAGAACTATAATAATCAATGAAACTAGGTCAATTAAATAAATATTCATAAATCTAACACAACATAGACATCAATTCAACATAATTATTACACTAATCAAATGTCCATAGAAAACTACAGTAGAATTCATACACATTAAGTCTAAACCACTTAACCCATTAAGTAGTCAAAAGCTAGTGTTCATCAATTACATGGGTTTATAGGTTAATTGAAATAAAATCATCTAATTAACAACAATTCAATCAATATAAAATGTTTTAAAATATTTAATAGAAGAACCCGTGGATAGATCATAAAATTGGACAATTCGTCTTTGAAAATATTAGAAAACTTGTTTGAAAGGTGGTCTCCTTGATGAATAGAGTTTAAAGGATAAAAAATCTTACCTCAATAAAGATAATCCTCCAATTTGATGAAGAATCTCCACTCAATTCTCCAATCTAAGCCCTTCCTTGAGTTTTTGCTCCAATGGAGTTCTATAGAATTTCGAAGGGTTTTTCGGTTTTGATTTTAAAGAATGAAATCTTCTAAGTATTTTAGACTTATAAACATATTTAAAATACCCAAAACACCCCTAAGTAACCTCCCTAAATCTTATTTGATTGTGGGGCGAATTTAGGCCCGTCCCTTGACCAACATACTGTCTTGCTGGTCTGTGGTCTGGGACTAAGGCTGGTCTTTGGCCTCTCCTTCCCCATGCCTATGTGTTCATCTACGATACCTCACCTAAGGGGAGTCGACTGACCTACTGGGCATTGATTACCTCCGTGGTTTGGGCAGTCTTGGGCAGTCCTGGCCACCAACGTGGGTCCTTCCTCAAGGACCCTTGGATGGTCCTTGGGGATATTTTCACCGCGTTTGCAACCCAAACATGCTCGTATACAAGTTTAGGACCTACCACATCCATTTCATCCAAAACGAACACGTAAAACTCAACAAAACATGCATAGACACATAAGGTCATTTCAGGGCAAGTCTTTTGAAAGTCATGGACGTTCTTGGATTTTTGACCTCCAAAATTCACGAAACTTGACACACTGGCAATAAACACCATAATAATTCATTAAAGAGCCTTAATTAACTAATGAAACACATAATTAGGTAGATAATTGCATATGAGGCACACAGGTTACTTAGTCGTCGAACGTCTTAGTCGTCCCTTGACGTTTGACTTAAAATGCAAGAAAAACTTTAGACACTACCTAAATACCACATTAAAGATAACTTTAGGAACTTAGACCATCATTACAACTATGTAAGGCTCTAGCTTCACCTAAGCCATTTTCGAGATCTTACATTCTCCCACACTTGGACAATATTCATCCTCGAATGAAACTTAACCACTCTCCGAACATTTTCAAGAAAGAGATTCAACTTAACAGATCATGACCATACCATATAACATCATATACAATTCAAACATCAAGAAAACATCAATTTCACAAAATCAAGAGCATCACAACACCAACATGAAACTAGAAACAAATCTACAACTCATTATGTTATAAAACTCACATCCTTCATTCCAAATAGTAAAACCTCATTTTATAATCAATATAATTCTCATATAAATCAGTTCTAACCATACTACAACAATTTTAGACCAAAAAATAAATTAGTCAAATTTACGAAATTCTCAAAGTGAACTTTCAAGCTACAACGAATAATGCAAATATTTCAAAAAGTGCAACTTTTAAGCAATTCATGATAGAAACATGCTAATATACAATGTATAACCACATAAATACACCTTACAACATAATCATAACTTCATCAAATGCACAATGCAAGGAATCAATGAAATTCAATTTCAGCAAGACCCCTAACAACAATGCAACATGCAACATACTTCTATGACTTTCTACTCTACAGCTTGAGTTGAATAGAAAAGATGAAACAACAAATCAAAACTCCTTTACTCCCCATACTCCCCCACTTATAAGGAACTCATATCACTAAAGAAACACAAAAACTTACCATCATTCCTCATCCTCATCCGTCTTTGATCTTTATAGTCCAGAGTGCATAGGAACACCTGTTATTTGGAGCATCATCCTTTGGAACATTGGGAGAAACTTGTTTACCCTTTCTTTCTCTAGCCTCAATAGTAGGACAAACTCCCAACTGATGTCCTTCTTTAACACAACCAAAGCAACTCACGGTACCCCTTAAGCATTCCCCATAGTGCTTATTTTCACAAGTGTCACGTGTAGGTTTTCCATTTTGAGAACCACCTCCTTTCTCTAATTTCACCTTAGCACTCCTAGGTTCTTTTTGACCTTGAGCCCTATTCTTGAATCTAAGTTGACCTTGATTACTTGAATCACTTCTTTTCAAATTCCTAGAAATCCTCCCAAGTTTAGACTCTTCTATTGATTGTGTATACTGCATGAGTCTAGGTAACGTCATATCATCATGTCACATGGTCGTACGACATTCTTTCCTCACTAGATCGGCGACACCAATCACAAATCTACTCATATCATCCCTTGTATTAGATACAAGTGATGGGACAATCTAGATAACATTGCGAACTTAAAAGAGTATTCCTCAACACTCATATTGTCTTGCTTGAGATTGATAAACTCTTCTACATAAACTTCCCTCCTCTCACAGGGAAAGTACTTTCCAAGAAAAGCTTCCTCAAATTCTTCCCAGTCAATAGGACCCGACTCTACCGGCCTAATCCATCCATTCAGTGTACAACACTTGAGAAACATCCTTTAATTGATACGAACCTAACTCCGCCTTCTCCCTTAACATAACCCCCATAAAACTCAACACCTTGTATACACCATCTAGAAACTCTTAGGAATCCTCTCCCACCTTAGAGCCTTGAAAGATAGGAGGATTCATCCTCACAAAGTCTCTCAACCTAGACGTAATAGTTCTCTCTCAACATTCACCCTAGGCACCATATTCAAATTCGCTTGAGTAGTTATGTCTCGGGCTAAGGCAAGCAAAGCCTCTCTAATATCACTATTACTCAACTCCGGGGGAACCACCGGAAAATCATTACCTCCTTCCACATTAGGGACTTGATCACCTTGGGGAGGTACTTGGGCAACTTGAACACCTTGAGGAACTTGCTCAACTCTAGGAGAAATCTCCTTATGCTTATCATTCTTCTCAACTCTCCTAGACGGTATCTTTCTCGTATTCATCTTCGTAGAAACACAAGGAAAACCATTAGAAAAGAGTAAAAATAACTTTTACTCTACGACACGAATTAGGAGTAGAAAAGAAAGAAAATTGTATCGTCTTATAGACTCTCGCCCATATATGTGTAATGACAGACACTGATGGTCAGCACTCTACTAGAAGTGACTTGATAAGTCTTTTTGATTCCTAAGACAACTTTCATACCCTATGATCGATACCAATCTTATCACATCTCGAAACCACACCCTAGAAGATATGTCATTCTCGGAATGCAACCAGCGTACTTGACCTCTCGAAGGTCTTGTAGAAGCCCTTCCATATCGTTCATCGCATATAAAACATATGAAAAGTATTGCGGAATTAAAACTTTCATAAACATTCTATAGTCTTTAAAAACGCTTTCATATAAAAGTCATAAGAAATATTACTAAGTCTCAATCTCATCAAAGCGTAGACACAAAATACTTGGGACACGGCCCATACATCAACATATAGAAATAATCAATTAAGGACATACTTCAAATTTGCTTGAACGACTCTAGAATCCAAACTCTCCTTCACGATCCTCTCACCTTTCACCTATTCCATTCGAGATAACAAAATGAATGGAATTAGTACGAACACTTGTACTAACTATGACATAATGCATAAAATCATGTAAACAAACATTTATTAGAAATGTGAATCATTTCCTTTTAAATATCATATCATAATGACATGAATAACATTTAATACCTTAGAAACGTATAAGAAATCATTTAATCAATTTAATGCATTTTCTGGAAACATAACATTGAATCACTTCAATGTACAGTGAACTTCTTTACTATTATAATGAATTTTCTTGACCTCTTCTTACGCACTATCTAGCATGTCATTCCCTCACTAAAAGCTATCCTAAGACTCACTAAAATAATACAAAGAGAGACTGCCCATACAACATCTCTAGGCACACCTAAATTATACTTAAGACCACCTTAAATGAGATCAACACAGACTCATAATACATCAACAAATAGACAATATGACATTCTCTTTCCAAAGTCTATTAAAATACTTAAGTAAATCAAGAAGATAACGTACATATTTGACCTCTACAAGACTACCTAAATAATCCCTAAGACTACCTAAGACTTAGATCATGTGCACAAAATCAATATCTTCCCCAACTAGAGTCATTCTTAAGACTTTTCTAAGTAAGATACGAAGTGAGCATTCCTATGGCCCCTTCACACCTTAACTAGACAACCCTTAACTACTATTGGTAAGTACTTATTCATTTAACATGCTTTCTTAACTTTAAGTCACTACATATATTAGTTCATTAAAGACTCATTATGTCACCCCCAACCCTAGGTGAGGCGGACAAGTACCTCATGAATACATGTTTTACTTTCTACGATAAGAAAGTAAACTACAATGCAAATTACTAATGAAGCTTCGTATACGACACATTTTGACTAGCTGAACCTCTATATGTGACGAGAGAAATTATGAATACAGATGATAACTTTACAATGTCTACAAAGCCTCTACTGGAATCCGTGATGGTATCACTATGAAAATATGAATAGTAAAGAATCGACAAAGCCCCGAATCAACCTGGAGCTCACCAAGATTCGTTGAGTACAATGTGCTTCTATTGGAAAAATCTACAAGTTGAGTACTTGTACGTGCAGCGTGAAATGCAGCGTCCCCAATAAGGGACTTACGTACGAAAGAATGTACTGAATATGTAAGACATAATACAACCATATGTAACATGAGAGGTCAAGTAAAACCAAATACCAATAGATAAGGGTTAGAGACAACCTTTTCTTTGTACTTGTGGAATCGTGCATGTTACATTCTTTTCTTTGCTTTTCTGTACTTTATAATCTTTATACAACATATGATACAAATCACAGCTGATCAGCGGTAGAAGAGGATGACCCATGCTACGCATTTTAACCCCAGGGATGCTATCCTCATAATTCTAAAAATTAGGATTGGCCCATGCTAGGTTTTCGCCCCTGAGTTTCCACTCTTCCATATCAATCGAGATCGGCCCATCCTAGGATTTTGCCCCTGAGATGCCACCCGTAATTATACTGATTACTTCACTTAGAGTCTTTCATATTTGGGAGTTTTGTTTATTAGTTCATAACTCTCTTGGGATTGTTCTTTAGATAATCATAACTCGTTTGAGATTGTACTTTTAGATGTTTAGAACTTGTCTATGATTATTGTTTTGGTGGTCATAACCCTTATTTAGATTTGGAACTACGAACCAGTAGTACAAGACATATGAATATGGACTTATGATAATAATAATGACATTGGAAGCAAATATGACTTGAACGTAGTACTTAGGAGCTTATATGACTCGATAAGAATTTTGACATCACATACTGAAGCACATCCAGTGAAGACAATTTAACATTCAGCCAAGAGATTTGAACTCTATATGCTACAGATACGAGATGTTCATGCATATGGAACAAAGGGGGACATAGGGCAGATTCAACTTAAGGACCGATATATATTTCAAGTGAGTACATATAAACATACAATTGAGAAAGTAGTGATCATGTGAGGTAGTCTTGTTGTCTAACACAATGGGAGTAAAAACAAGAAAAGGAACATATGAACGTGTGACAAGATGACATATCTTTAAGCAATTGAAGCAAGTTGGCAAGATATGGGCAGATTGTATATCCATCTTATTAACATATGTACCATGTGTCATCTAGGATCGCTTGGACTAATATAATGGAAGTACGTGCTAGGGGTACTTTTACAATGAAACAAGTTTAAATCGTGCATGATAACACTTGGTAGGGTAAAGACGCACATAAGAGTACACACTTCAATGCTCTAGGGAGTAGGAACTGCAACTATGGATCAGTCGCTACCAAGGGCACTTAGAAAGCTTATTTTTGTATTGCATGTTTTGTATTCATGCCTAAGAAATAGGAAATCAAATAGCCTTACATACCCTGCTATACAATTCAAAATGTATTACTTCAGATACTTCTCTTATGATCACTAATCTACAATAAAATAAGTTGTAAGACTAGTATTAGTAGCTAATCAATCAAATTGAACCACTTGATAACACCTAAATAGTAACAAAGCAATAAGCTGCAATCTATCTAGCCAGTGTTTTCTTTCTTTCCCTATCCCTTTAATCACTTCTATATACTATACAACCTTCGTATCAGGTTCTCCCCAAAACTCATCGCACTTCCAGTTATATCTCTTATCATAACATATATAAAACAATCTTTGAACATAATAATATAATAGAAGCAATATGAATCATGGTTTCTGATCACCAGCACTTGAAGAGCTAACATGACTTTTAAAGTGCTCAAAAAATCTCATAGCTTAATTTAAAGAGGACTCCCCACCATAGCTGTCCCAACATACACTAATCAGCAGAACATACTGTCCAAAATTTACTATGTAAAAGTAATAATTTCCAACTCACTAACACATACCAAGTGTCCTAATTAACTCAAGCACAAGAGGGAGACTATTGCAGTAAGTTACCTTGCTGGACATAACTACCACTTGCTAAGACTTGAATTCTTCAAGGTAAAGGTTATCCTCCTTAATTTGTCTTAAATTATACCTTCAAATAGCTTGAAATGCCTATTATTCAAGAACCCTAATGGTATTTAATGGATGTTGTATCTATCTAAGAGAGAGAAGAGAGAAAACTGTAGAAATTAGATCTTTTGTCAAAGTAAAAATGGTTGGAAAAAGCTGATATCAATTTGCTTTAAAGGGACCTGCTTTGGTCAACTTTCTAAATCATTTTGGGCCATAAATTTTAAAGTAAGTGACCCACCTACTTGGTCTTTTTGTATAAGAACATTGGCCCTTTTTACAACTTTCATGTACTTCATTTGCAGCCAACAAGTGTCTATAATTTGGGCCGCACATTTAAGAAGGTGTTGAACCTAGTTTTCCATTCAAATTTTTTCTTGTGGGCTTGAGAAGATTGGGCCTTTGCTGTCCATTTTCCCCTAATTCTTCTATTCAACTTGGGCTAAATTAATGCCAATAGGTGTAGTGTACTTGGCCAAATAACACAGTTAAAAGAGTCTTAGTAGGTGATGCACCTACTTGGTCTAGTCAATAAGGCAAAGTAGATGATGCACCTACTTGTCACCTACTAGCTTAGTGAAGTCAAGCAAGCACGTTAATATTTTGTTCCATTTCTAGTCCTTAATAACTTTAACCTAACTTAGAACTTATATAAACTACGTCACTTTATACTTTGACTCACATACCACCTTATGATCTCAAGTTTAAATGCTTCCATAGACATCAACTTAATTGTCTCACATTAAAATCTATGGATATTTCACTTTAAACCTATTTTATTGCCACTAGTTGCCTATGAAACCGAATCCATAAATGTACCACAAGGAAGTTAATAAGCATTATATAAATAAGACTAGTACATGTATAATATAGGGTGTTACACATTCATCACATAAGGACTTTTAATGGTCTTGGAAAATACCTACGGACTCTAACTAACACCTTCCAATCCTATTGTGTAATGTCTAGATAGTGTCCCATACCACCACCTAAACTTATAGAAATTCTATAATGCTAGTAGGTTTCCCATATGATGAGAATAGGTAATAACTGACATAGACCATGATAGGTCATGATGAGAATATGCAATAACTGACATAGACCATGATAGGTAGACATGGAATCCTTATTTCTAACATACACTGATGAGGGTATTCTACTTGCCAGTGGTAGAACTTACACACATCCTATACTCACTCGATGCTAGCTTTTGTTCTCATAGAGTAATTCACAATAAAGGTTCATATAAAGGGGTTCCATATCAAGTTCCTAACCCAATAACATTTACCCTACCAAAGAGGTCTACTAAGGCTACGTTACAATGGCGACAAAAAGCTCATAATGAATTTCCTAAGGATTGATATGATGTCGTTCAAGCAAATCAACCTTAAGTCTATAATTCTTTTAAATGAAGGATATCATTACGACTTTCGACTTCAAGGTTTCACATAATGGATTATCTTAACTTCATTTAATGACTCATGTCATTCATACATACAAGACTGAGAGGCTTTAGCATCCTAAGTCAAGGCATCTCATATTCACATCCATACAAGCATCTAGTAAGGAAAAAAATTCAACCAAGACAAGGCACAACATACTTCACTTTAACACATATTACATGTCATTCTAGAAGCACATAAAAACAACTACTATCATCTTTAAGTCATCCTATACACTACCCTATCTGTAACAGCCCTTCTTAAGCATATATTTGTGAAAGACCATGTTTCTTATACTATTACTGTTGGTTTAAACTAGTCGAAAAGTGATGTATCATGCCATGCATGTTTCAGTGTGTTTACTATAAGTTAAGTCCGCAGGATGTATTTATACTAGAGATAGTAAGGTGGTAATTGAGCTTAAATTTAAAAATTATATTCTAAGTTGAACTAGAAGGATGAAATATTCATAAAATGAAATAAAATAATTGAGTTGCTTGCTTGAATTTATTAAGCTACAGTTGCATCACCTACTTGAGCTGTATGGATATTATTAAAGGGACCAAGCTTTATGGACCAAATTAAGGATTATAGTAATGGGCTCACATGAATCCCTAACCTATTAAAAGAAAATAAAAATGAAAGAAAGTACAGCAGCCAAATCTTCCAAGGCCATATATAGATACATCCCATGTAAAATCAACGAGGTGCATCACCTTGTTTGACCTTTGGAGCTGCTTGATGTGCATAAGCAGTTGCATCACCTACTTGACCAATTAGTGGCTGAAAATTGACCCAGAAAAAGGAGTTTCTAGGGGATATTTTGTGTTCAATCAATCTCCATATATATATATATATATATATATATATATATATATATATATATATATATATATATATATATATATATATCCAATATGAGTAGATATTCTTCACCCAATTTAACACATAATATTGAGAATTATCCCCAACTCCCTCTCTCTCTTTTATCTTCAAGATTAAAATAACAGTTTTTAGTTGTTCTCAGGTTCTTCAATAAACCCTCTATCAGCAAACAAAGGTAAGTGAAAACACTTGGATTTTTGCTTAATTCTCCCATGGATGATTAGAAAAACACGTTATTCATCTTAAGTATAAATACAAAAGCAAAAAAATTCAATAAGCTAATGCTCACTTCCTTAGTTATTAAGCGACCTTTTTCTTCTTCTTTTGTTTAAGTGTGATGGGAAGCTGAAGTTCTAGATGAATTCATGTTATAAGGAGAAGTTGCAGAAATGAAGGTAATGTATTGCCCTTTTTTTTCTAGCGTATGAGTTGTAGTGAGATATTAGGGATGTGGTGTAATGAAGAACTCCAGGGGGTGGTGAATTTAATAATTGGTTGAATGATAAAGAATATTTGCGGCTGTTCTGTGTGTGTTATTGTTGGTGCAGCTTGGTTGATCTTGGGGAAAAGGATATATGATGTATGTGTTTGACATAAAATGAGGGTGTGGTGATACACATTATGTTAAGGGTTGGATGGTTTCACTATCTGTCAAAGTTAGCTACTGTTTTACGAGGCTCACGTGTGATAGCTACTAATTTTAGCTTACCATGACTAAGATTGTAAATTTAAACAAAAAAACTGGAGGCTGAATCGTGATAGTTATATCGGTCAAAGGATAAGGTATGTAAGGTTATTCGATTCTATATCCATTTGGCATAAAATCTGATACTTGCGATTAATACCAATGAAGTGAATCTCATAAGTTCTATTCCTAGAAAAGGAAACATAGTGGAAACGTACTATCTCAAAATAGCTAAAAATATTTCCCCCTCTCCGTAGTGCATAGAACTACTTCATTTTATATTCACTATTTTATACCTATGTAATTATCTCTCTATGTGCCAGTATAGAAATGGTATTTGCAAAAGCATTTCATGTTGCAGACCAAGTACTTAAGCTAGTAGACCTCCTCAATAGGAGCATACGACACTCAGATACTTTTGGTAAGCTCCCAACTGATCCTTGGTACATTCATTTTTGTATTGTATCATACTTAAGGGTAAAGCGGGGTCTGTCCCGACCTACTCTAGGTATTCTATCTTTTTAGTGGCTTTGTAGACGTATGTACATGGTTCAGTTGTATCTTAAGGAGTTGTGGCCTCAACGTACAAGTATAGTATATAACTTTTTGGGTCTACTTATGTTGGTTTGTACCACTGCGTGCTTTGTGAACTTGTCAGGATTGTAATAATCAAATGCATATTAACAACATATTTCAATTTGGTTCTCTCGGGCCCTTAGGGCATCGGGTGACTGTCCGTCTTACTGGGATTTGAGGCGTGACAAAAGTGGTATCAGAGCAGGTCATTCTAGGGAGTCTACAAAGCCGTGTCTGTGTAGTGTCTTGCTTATGGATGTGTCGTGCACCACATCCATAAACATGAGGCTACAGGACATGTAGGAGTTATCTCATTTCATCCAAATTTTAGATCGTGCAGTAGAACCAACGTTGTAGGTAAATCATATTTAATTTCTAAATTGTTTTATTATGGAAAAGATGCCATTTATGAGAAGGAGTAAACGTACTGGTAAGCGAGTAGATGTGGCTGCCCAAGAAGGGACCAGCCAACCACCACCAAGTCAAGCTTTTAAAAGTGGGGCTCAAGATGAGTCTCAATCACAGACTTCCCCGAAACCTCCATCTCTTGAAGAACTAAGGAGGGAAGATGAACCTCAGGAACCCCCTTATTAATGGTACCAAGCAAGATTTAAAGATTGCAGTCCAATTATTCACTCGTATAGTTGCTGGTCATGGTCAAAGGAATGAAGCTCCAGCCGCAGGTACTAGTGATGTATATAGAGCAGCTGGAACACGGATACGTGATTTTCTTAACTTGAACACTCCATCATGCACCGGGTCAGATCCTAATGAAGATTGTAACGTCCTGCATTATGTATATGGTAGTTCTATCCCTGTTATACTTGACATAGACTTGGAGTGTAGGTTAGGGATCATGTGTCTTATATGATTACTGGTTGTTTAAACTAGCTCGGAAGGTGATAGCCTTGAACATTCAGCATGCGTATTGCAAGTAAACTCTGACGGAAAGTATTTAAGCAAATATAGTAAGGTGGAAATTGAGCTTAAAGTTGAAAGTTAAGTGCTAAGTTGAAGAAAAGGGATTAACATTGAGAAATTGAAATAATGTAATTGAGTTGCTTGTTTGGCTTAATTATGCTAGCAGCTACATCACCTACTTGAGCTATAATATAGTGAAAGGGACCAAGTTTGATGGACCAGATTTTGGTTTATATTAATGGGCACACATTAATACCAAACTTATTAAATGAAAAGAAAAAAAAAAGGAAAGCCCAGCAGCCAAATCTGCCAATTGGCCCATAATGGATAAAGCCCAAGTGAAACTAACTAGGTGCATCACCTACTAAGACTTTTTTACCATGTAATTGGGCCAATTTTGTACCACCTACTTGCATTAGTCTGGCCCAAGTTAAATATAAGAACAAACGGAAAATGGACAGCCAAGGCTGAATAATTTTAAGTCCAAAAAGGCCCAAGTTAAAAGCCAAGTAGGTGGTTCACCTACTTGACAATATATGGCCCAAAATTGGCCAAGAAAGTCGGCCATTGCACCTCCCTTTCAGACATGCAAAATTTTTAGATTCTTTAAGTTTCTTTCTTGGTGTCTCTTGGCTTCACCAAGCAGCCCTAAAATAACCTTAGGGTTCTTGGTATTGTCTCGTATTCAAGTAAAAGTTTGAAGGAGAGTTTGAATTCTTGAAGTATAAGTTTAGAGGATACATTTCCAGAATTAAGGTAAGACTGCAACCCATTTGTTTTCTTCTTTATGAATACATGTTTGGAGTGGAGAATTTTGTTTATATTTATCAAGACTTCATGGATTGTGATAAATTCTTGAGTCAGTATTCTCCTATTATGCTTAACGATTTGAGATTGATAGTTGATGCCTTATGAATATTGCTGAGGGAATCTTGGGTATCTTTGGAGAGGACGTATGAAGTTGTATTAATGTGTAGAGGGTGTGGTGGTTCACCATTTCTGTAAGGATTGTATGGGCCTGCTTTGCGTAAAATATTTTAGTTATTGATTCGAGGGACGTAATGTTATTAGTTGTTGACGTTAGCCTATTCATGACTTATGTTGTGGATTAGCACCCAAAAAAGAAGGTTGAATCATGATAGGGGTATTGGTCTGAAAATAAGGTATGTAAGGTTATTTGATTCCATATTCCTTGTCATGAAATCTGACACCTGTAAGTAATATCAATGAAGGGAATTTCCTAAGTTCTATTCCTGGTAAAAGAAACAATAGCGGTGTATTGACTCCAATACCTAATTATATCCCTCCCACCATCCTAAGTACATAGAACTACTTCATTATAAGTTCACTACTCTATACATGTGTAATTATACACCTTGTACTGTTATAGAAATTGTATTTGCAAAAGAAAGTTTGGTAAATCCTTCTCCTAGTCAATTGAAGTCAATTGTGTCATTAAACTCTTAAAGTAATGTGTTAATGTTACATAGCTCCTTATGTCATTGTTACTTCTTCAAAGTATTATTTTTCATGTCTTCTACTACTGGTCCGTATTTCCACATCTTCAAGATGATTATGACCACAAAGACAACATCTCAAAAGTGTTATGATCATCCAAAGAACAATCTCAAAAGAGATCTAATTAATAAACAACAATCTTAAAAATTAAAGAATCTAAGTGAAGAAATTTGTATAAGTACGGGTGGATGCACAGGGGCGAAATACTAGAATGGATCGATCCGTATCAGTTTAGAAGAGTGGCAGCTTAGGTGCGAAATCCTAGCATGGGCCGATCCTAAATTGTGTAATTATGAGTACCGCATCCCAAGGGTTAATATGCGTATAACGGTTCCTACCAATGATCAACTGGTCAGTTGTATCACATGACCTACAAAGATTATGACGTACAGAAAAGTAAAGGAAAGAAATGTAAGATACATGATCTCACAAGAGTAAATAATGGTCGTCTTTTATCCTGATCTATGCACTCATATGGTGGTACTTGATTTCATTTGATTCCTCATATTACATATGTTATTGCCTTACATATTCAATATACTTTTTTGTACTGACATCCCTCGCAAGGGATGTTGCATTTCATGTTGCAGGCATAAGTACTCCAGCTAGTAGACTTCCTTTGTAGGAGCAAACGACACTCAGCAACTTTTGGTGAGCTCCAGGTTGATTCAATGGTTTTTTGATTCCTTGGTAAATTTATTTTTTTGTATTATATCGTAGTTAAGGGTAAGGTGGGGTCTGTTCCGACCTACCCTAGGTCTTCTATCTTCTTAGAGGCTTTGTAGACTTATGTATATAGTCTTAGTTATGTCTTAAGGTGTTGTGGCCTCAACGGCCAAGTCTTGTATATAACTTTTGAGTCTACTTATGTTGGTTGGTATTGCTGGGTCCTATGTGAAGTCATCGTGATTCTTATAGTTATATGCATAGTAAGAACATGTTAAAAGTTAGTTCTCCCGAGCCTTTAGGGCATCGGGTGCCTGTCCATTTTAATAGGATTTGAGGCATAACAAAAGTGGTATCAGAGCAGTTTATCCTAGGGAGTCTAGAAAGTCGTGTCTGTGTAGAGTCTTGCTTATGGATGTGTCGTACACAACATCTATAAACATGAGGCTATGGGACATGTAAGAATTGTCTCATTTCTTTCATCTCTTAGATCATGCAATAGAACCAATGTTGTAGTTGAATCATATCTAATTTCTAAATTGTTATATTATAGCAAATATGCTGGTTATGAGAAGGAGTAAAAGTACTGGTAAGCGAGTAGATGTGGATGCCCAAGAAGGGACCAGCCAACCACCACCTAGTCAAGCAGTTCAAAGTGGGGCTCAAGATGTGTCTCTATCAAAGACTTCCCCGACGCCTCCATCTCTTTAAGAACTAAGGAGGGAAGTTGAACCTCAATAACCCCCTGTTAATGCTACCGAGTAAGATTTGAGGAATGGAGTCCAACTATTAACTCGTATAGTTGTTGGTCATGGCCAAAGGCAAGAAGGTTCAGTTGCAGTTACTAGTGGTGTAGATAGAGCAGCTGGAACATGGATATGTGATTTTCTTAACTTGAACCCTCCATCATTCACTGGGTCAAATCCTAATGAAGATCCACAAGACTTTACAGATCAGATCAAACAGACTTTGGGTATTATGCATGTAAGTGGTAAAGAAGCACTTGAGCTAGCTGCATATAGATTAAAGGGTGTGGCTATATTGTGGAATGAAGCTTGGAAGATATCTAAGGGAACAAATAGACTTTCAACTATGTGGAAAGAGTTCACAAAGGCATTCCTTGATCATTATCTGCCATTGGAGATCCGAGAGGCCCGTGCGGATCAGTTCTTAAATCTTGACTAAGAAAATATGAGCATGAGAGAGTATAGTCTCAAATTTAATTACTTGGCCTGGTATGTTCTTAAGGTAGTAGCTACTATGGAGGATAGAGTGCATGGATTTGTGAATAGATTAGATTCATATCTTGTTAGATACTGTACAATTGCTTCATTGAATAAAGCTATGGGTATAGAAAGCATGCAGGCTTTCGCACAAAAGTTAGAGGGATCAAATACAAAGAAGAAGGTCACAAAAATCGAAAATAGGGAATTCACAGAGGGCCAGATCCATGGGGAAGTTTACACAAACCCAAGGTGAGTTTAGGCCTCAGTTGTCTAACAAACCGCCTAGAACATCATCTTTCTACTCTACAACTTGTGCTCCACCACGGTTCCAAGGGTTTAGGGGCAATCAGTTTGGGTAAATAAGTGATAGCCAAGGCTCACAAATAGTGAGTCATCAAGAGCGGGGAAATACGAGCCAATCAATTCCTCCACGAAAGCCTTGTAAGAAGTGTGGGAGGAACCATCTAGGTGAATGCAGGGTTGGGACGGATTCTTGTTTTTGGAGTGGTACACCAGGGCATATGATGAGAAATTTCCCTCATAGGGGCGTGGGTGGTGTTGCACAACCTACTAGATCAGTGGTTGCATCGACCTCATCAACACCTTCTTTAGGTAGTGGACTACAAATGCCTATAAATCGTGGTAGAAGATATAGGGGAGAAGCTAGTTCTAGTGGAGGTCAGAATCACACATATGTACTAGGGGATTGATAGAATTCAGGAGCCTCTCCGGATGTGGTTACAGGTACATTTTCCATCTTTTCACATATTGTATATGTATTAATTGATCCGGAGTCTACACTATCATATGTTACACCATTGATTGCTGGAAAGTTCAAAAGAACACCAGAATAATTAGTGAAGCCATTCGAAGTGTCTACATTAGTAGGTGAGTCTATTATAACTAGAAGGGTTTATCTTAATTTTATTTTAACTATTTGTGATCGCGATAAATGACCTTGTTGAGCTAGACATGGTAGATTTTAATGTTATAATGCGTATGAATTGGTTAGCTTCTTGTTATACCACAGTAGATGCCGAACTAAGATAATACATTTCCAGTATCCAAAAGATGTAATCCTCAAATGGAAAGGTAATATTGGGCGCCAAGAGGTAAATTTATTTCTTATCTTAAGGCAAGAAAGATGATTTCCAAAGGATACATATGTCATTTGGTTAGAGTAAAAAATATAGATGCGGAGCCACCAACCCTTCAATCTATTCTCGTGGTAGATGAATTTCCAGATGTGTTTCCCGTACTTGAAGATATGATGCGAACTTGTATATTAAATTTCAGGGGTAGATGGGATGATCACCTACCACTTATTGAATTTGCTTATAACAATAGCTACCATTGAAGAGTTAAAATGGCACCTCTTATGATGCTTTATATGGTGAAAAGTATAGATCACCAATTGGCTGGTTCGAAATAGGTAAACTGCCTTATTTGGGCTAGTTCTTGTTCATCAGGCTCTAGAGAAAGTCAAAGTGATACAGCAGCGGCTAGAAACAGCTCAAAGTCGACATAAATCATATGCAGATATTAGAAGGAGAGGATTAGATTTTTCTATAGGGGATTGGGTGTTCTTGAAGGTTTCTCCAATAAAAGGGGTAATGAGGTTTGGTAAAAAGGGAAAGATGAGTCCATGCTATATAGGTCCATATAAGATTATTTTAAAATTCGGCCAAGTAGTATTTGAGTTGGAGCTACCACAAGAGCTTTCATCAGCTCATCCAGTATTTCATGTCTCAATGCTACGAAAATCCGTAGGTCACCCATCTCATATTAATCCTACTGAAGATGTACAAATTGCGGGCGGTATCACTTATGAAGAAGAACCCATTGATATTCTGTATCGACAAGTTAGGAAGTTATGAAATAAAGAAGTAGCTTCTGTAAAAGTATTATGGAGAAACCAACAAGTAGAAGAAGTTACATGGGAAGCGGAAGAAGCAATGAAATTGAAGTATTCTCACCTCTTCCACACTAGTGAGAACGATCAAAATGTTAGTGGAGGAATTGACAAGTATGTATAAGTGTATATGTTCAATGTGATTAATAGTAGTACTAACTTAGGCCTGAACTTGTTTAGGCTGGAAAACCTTGATCAGATTCGAGGACGAATGTTTCAAGGGGGGAAGGATGTAACGACCTGTATTATGTTTATGCTAGTTCAATTCATGTTGTACTTGACATAGACTTATAGTGTAGGTGAGGGATCGTGTTTCTCATTTGATTAGAGTTTGTTTAAACTAGTTCGGAAGGTGATGTAACGCCTTGCACGTTCAGCATGTGTATTGAAATTTAACTCTGATGGAAAGCATTTAAGTAAATATAATAAGGTGGTAATTGAGCTTAAAGTTGAAAGTTAAGTTCTAAGTTGAAGAAAAGGGATTAACATTCAAAAATTGAAATAATATAATTGAGTTGCTTGCTTGGTTTAATTAAGATAGCAGCTGCATCACCTACTTGAGTTATAATATAATTAAGGTCCCAAGTTAGATGGACCAGATTTAGGCTTATATTAATTGGGCTCACTTAAATCCCAAACATATTAAATGAAAAGAAAAAATATATAAAAAAGCCCAGCAGCCAATTATGCCAATTGGCCCAACATGGATCATGTCCATGTGAAACTAAGTAGGTGCATTACCTGCTAAGACCTCCATTTAATTAGGCCAAGTGTGTACCAACTACTTGCATTAATCCTGCCCAAGTTGAATAAAACAACAAAGGGAAATTGGACAGCCAAGGCCCAATAATCTTAAGTCCAAAAAGCCCCAAGTTAAAAGGCCAAGTAGGTGGGTCACCTACTTGATAATATATGACCCTAAATTGGCCAAGAAAGTTAGCCATAGCACCTCCCTTTTAAAAGGATAAAGATAAAGTGTTGTTCTCCATTTTAAACTTGCAAAATTTTCAGATTCCTTAATTTTCTTGGTCTCTCTTGGCTTCAACAAGCAGCCCTAAAACACCTTAGGGTTCTTGGGTATTGTCTCATTTTCAAGTAAAAGTTTGAAGGAGAGTTGGAATTCTTGAAGTGCAAGTTTAGAGGATAAATTTCCAGAAATAAGGTAAGACTACAACCCATTTGTTTCCTCTCTTTGAATACATGTTAGGAGTAGAGTATTTGTATATATTTAACAAGAATTCATGGATTCTGATAAATCCTTGAGTCAATATTCTCCTATTATGCTGAAAGATCTGAGATTGATAGTGGCTGCCTTATGATATTGTTGTTGAGGGCAGCTTGGGTGTCTTGGGAGAGGATGTATGAAGTTGTGTTAATGTGTAGAGGAAGGGTTTGGTGGTTCACCATTTGTGTAAGGGTTGTATGGGCCTGCTTTCAATCAAATATTTCAGCTACTATTTTCGAGGGTCTTAATGTGATTAGCTGCTGACGTTAGCTTAATCATGACTCATGTTGTAAATCAGCACCCAAAAAGGAAAGGCTGAATCATGATATTTATACCGGTCAGAGGATAAGGTATGTAAGGTTATTTGATTCCATATTCCTTGGCATGAAATCTGACACCTGTAATTAATATCAATGAAGAGAATCTCCTAAGTTCTATTCACTGACACTTGTAATTAATATCAATGAAGCGAATCTCCTAAGTTCTATTCCTAGTAAAAGAAACAATAGCAGTGCATTGACTCCAAATACCTAAAAATGTCCCTCCCACCATCCTAAGTACATAGAACTACTTCATTATAAGTTCACTACTTTATGCTTGTGTAATTATACACCTTGTGCTGTTATAAAAATGGTATTTGCAAAATAAAGTTTTGGTGAATCCTTCTCCTAGACAATTGAAGTCAATTGTGTCATTAAGGTCTTAAAGTAATGTGTTGATGTTACATAGCTAGTTATGTCATTGTTACTGCCTCGAAGTATTATTTTTCATGTCTTATACTACTTGTTCGTACTTCCATATCTCCAAGATGATTATGACCACCAAGACAACATCACAAAATTGTTATGATTATCCTAAGAACAACCCCAAAAGAGTTTTGAACTAATAACACCAATCTCAAAAATGAAAAAATCTAACTGAAGAAATTTGTATAATTATAGGTGGAAGCTCAGGGGCAAAAAACTAGAATGGGTCGATCCCAATCGGTATAGAAGGGTGGCAGCTCAGGGGCGAAAGCCTAACATGGGCCGATCCCAAATTGTGTAATTATGAGGACCACATACCAGGGGTTAATATTCCTAGCACGGGTCATCCTCTTCTACCATTGATCATCTTGTCACTTGTATCACTTTTCCTACAAAGATTATAGCGTACAGAACAATAAAGGAAAGAACGTAACATACATGATCGCACAAGAGTAAATAAAGATGATCTTCTCTCCTTATATATGCACTCATATGTTGGTACTTGATTTCATTTGAGCCCTCTTATTACATACGCTATGGCCTTACATATTCAGTACATTTTTTTGTACTGACATCCCTCGCGGGGGACACTGCATTTCATGTTGCAGCCACAAGTACTCCAACTAGTAGACCTCCTTTGTAGGAGCACACAACACTCAACAACTTTGGGTGAGCTCCAGGATGATTCGGAGCTTTACTGAGTCGTTGGTAAATTCATTTTTGGTATTGTGTTGTAGTTAAGGGTAAGGTGGTGTCTGTCCTGACCTACTCTAGGTCTTATATCTTCTTAGAGGCTTTGTAGACGTATGTACATAGTTTCAGTTGTGTCTTAAGGAGTTGTATCCTCAACGACCAAGTCTTATATAACTTTTGAGTCTACTTATGTTGGTTGGTGTTGCTGCATCCTATGTGAACTCGTCACGATTTTATTGTGATATGCATAGTAAGAACATGTTAAAATTTAATTCTCCCAGGCCTTTAGGGCATCGGTGCTTTTCCGTCTTAATGGGATTTGAGTCGTGAAAAAAATGCACAAGACATAAAAAATTAGATCAAACACACTTTGGATATTATGCATGTAAGTGGTAAATAAGCACTTGAGCTAGCAGCATATAGATTAAAGGGTGTGTCTATATTGTGGTATGAAGCTTGGAAGCAATCTAGGGTAACAAATGCACCTTCAACTATGTGGATAGAGTTCAAAAAGGCATTCCTTGACCATTATCTTCTGTTGGATATCCGAGAGGCATGTGAGAATCAGTTCTTATATCTCCACCAAGAGGTATGAGAGTGAGAGAGTATAGTCTCAAATTCAATTCCTTGGTGAGATATGCTCCAAATGTAGTAGCTATCATGGAGGATAGAATTCATCGATATGTGGATCGAATAGACCCATATTTAGTTTGAGACTGTACCATTGCTTCATTGAATAAAGATATGGATATAGCAAGGATGCAGGCCTTTGAGCAAATGTTGGAGGATAAAAGGCAAAGTAGAAGGACACAAGAGTCAGAAATAGGGAATTCTGAGAGAGCCTGATCCATAGGGAAGTTTACACCATCCCAAGTTGAGTTTAGGCCTCGGTTCTCTAACAGACCACCTAGGCCATCATCTTTCTACTCTACAGTTAGTGCTTCACCACAGTGTCAGGGTTTAGGAGCAATCAGTTTGGGAAAGAAGTGAAAGACAAAGCTCACAAATAGTGGTTGATCAAGGGCAGGGAACTACAAGCCAATCAAGGTCTCCTCGACAACCCTGTAATTAGATTGGGAGGAATCATCTAGGTGCGTGATGGTTAGGGACAAATGTTTGTTTTTGGTGTGGCACACCAGGGAAAATGATGAGAAACTTCACTCATAGGGGCATGGGTGGTGTTGCACAACCAACTAGATCAGTTGTTGCATCAAACTCATCAAGACCTTCCTTGGGTAGGGGTTACAGATACTTACAGTTCGTGTATAGGAGCTAGGAGAGCAGCTAGTTGTAGTGGAGGTCAGAATCGCACATATGCACTAGGGGATCAACAAAATTCAGAAGCCTCACCGGACGTGGTTACAGGTACATTGTCCTTATTTTCACAAATTGTATATTCAGTAATTGATCCAGGGTCTACTCTGTTATATCTAGAAGAGTTCATCAAAATTGCATTGTAACTGTTTGTGATTGCGAAACATTGGCTGACCTTGTTGGGCTAGACATGGTAAATTTTGATGTTATAATGGGTATGGATTGGTTATGTTCTTGCTTTGCCATGGTAGATTGCCTATCTAAGATAGTGCATTTTTAGTTTCCAAAAGAAGCAGTCCTCGAATGGAAAGGTAATATTGGTGTGCCAGGAGGTAAGTTTATTTATTATCTTATGGCAAAGAAGATGATTTCCAAAGGATAAATATGTCACCTCGTCATAGTGAAAAATTTAGATGTAGAGCCACCAACCCTTCTATCCGTTCTAGTGGTAAATGAATTTCCAGATGTGTTTCCTGAGGATCTTCTAGATTTGCCTCCAAAATGTGAAGTAGAGTTTGTATTGATTTACTTCCAAATACTCAACCTACCTCAATTCCTCCGTATAGAATGGCTCCGATAGAACTACAGGAGTTGAAGGAGAAATAAAGATGGATCGTTACAAATGTGTATCGACTATCGGCAGTTGAATAAGGTTACAATTAAGAACAAATATCCCCTCCCTAGACGTGATGATTTGTTTGATCATTTACAAGGTGCTTGGTGTTTTTCAAAGATCGACCTGAGGTTGGATTATCACCAAGTGATGGTCAAGGACAAAGATATACCCAAGACAACTTTCCTAACATGGTATGGTCATTTTGAGTTCTTAGTCATATTTCTCAGGCTAACAAATGTAGCAGCAGCTTTTATGGATTTGATGAATAGTGTTCAAGCCATTTTGAGACATGTTCGTGATAGTATTCATAAATGACATTTTGGTGTATTCAAGATCAGAAGATCATGCTAATCACTTGCATCACGTTTTACAAATTCTTTGTGATCGTAAATTGTATGCAAAGTTCTCTAAATGTGATTTCTGATAGAAATTTGAGGCATTCTTAGGTCATATTGTATCTAGTGAAGGAATAGGGATTGATAACAGAACATAGAACCATGAAAAACTGGCCAAGACATATAACGCCTACGGTGATCCGTAGTTTTCTTGGATTGGCAGGTCATTACAGAAGGTTCATTGAAAGATTCTCTTCCATTGCTGCACCCTAAACAAAGCTAACACACAAAGAAACCAAACTTCAGTGGAGTAATGAATCTGAAAGAAGCTTACAAAAGGTGAAGAGTAAATTAACTTCTACACATGTATTAGTACTTCCAGAAGGCACGGAATGCTATGCAGTGTATTGTAATACTTCTGAAGTGGGCTTAGGTTGTGTATTGATGCAGCATGGTAATGTTATAGCTTATGGATCAAGGCAACTGCGCCCACATGAGAAAAATTATCCAACCCATGATCTAGCGCTAGCAGCAATTGTGTTTGCTTTGAAGATATGGCACAACTACTTTTATAGAGTTCATGTTGACATATACACTGATCACAAGAGTTTGCAATATATCTTCAAGCAAACGGACTTAAATCTGAGGCAGCAAAGGTGGCTGGAGCTATTAAAAGATTATGACATTGATATTTTGTATCATCCCGGTAAAGCAAATGTAATAGCTGATGCTTTAAGTCGTAAAATACTAGAAAATACTTATGGGAAGTATGTGGAACGACAAGAAATAACTAAGGATCTATGCAAACTATCTAGCTTGGGGGTTAGCCTTCTTGAATCTCAAGACGAAAGGGTTATTGTGCAAAATGTGGCAGAATCCTCATTAGTAGTGGAAGTGAAAGAGAAGCAGTACACTGATCCTATTCTTTTATAGCTTAAGGAGAATGTACAACATGGTATGACAAAGGCATTTGACCCTTCGCAAGAGGGAGTAATTCGATGTCAAAACAGATTACGTGTACCTAATGTAAATGAATTAAGAAAGAGGATCATGATGGAAGCACATCATTCAAGATACTCAGTTTATCCGGGGTCAACCAAAATGTATCATGACTTGAAAGAAATGTATTTGTGGGGGGATATGAAGAGGAGAATTTAAGAAATTCGTGGCTCAATGTCCAAATTGTCAACACGTAAAAGTACAACACCAGAGTCTTGGAGGTTATATGCAGCATATAGAACTTCCAATTTGAAAATGGGACATGATCAACATGAATTTTGTCACTGGTTTGCCTCGCTCATTCCGAAAGTTTGACTTCATATGGTTACTAGTCGACAGTTTGACTAAATCATCACACTTCTTGCCTGTGAAAACTACTTATACAGCTGAAGAGTATGCGAGGTTGTATGTTAAAGAGATAGCTCGACTACATAGAGTGCTAATCTCTATAATATCTAATAGAGGAGCTCAGTTCACTACAAATTTTTGGAAATCGTTTCAAAAGAGTTTGGAACACAAGTGAATTTAAGTACAACCTTTCACCCTCAAATGGATGGTTAGGCAGAACGTATAATTTAGATACTTGAGGATATGCTGCAAGCTTGTCTATAAGATTTCAAAGGTAGCTTGGAGGATCACCTACCACTAATTGAATATGCTTATAACAATAGCTATCATATCAGAATTAAAATGGCACCTTATGAAGCGTTATATGGTTGAAAGTGTAGATCACCTATTGGCTGGTTCGAAAAAGTAAAACTGCCTTATTTGGGCCAGATCTTGTTCATCAAGCTATGTAAAAAGTCAAAGTGATACAGCAGCGGATAGACACAACTCAAATCGACATAATTATACGCGGGTATTAGAAAGAGAGGACTAGAATTTTCTATAGGGGATTGGGTGTTCTTGAAGGTATCTCTAGTGAAAGGGGTAATGAGGTTGATAAAAAGGAAAATTTAAGTCCATCCTATATAGGGAAATATAAGATTATTCAAAAATTTGGCCAAGTATCCTATGAGTTATAGCAACCACAAAAGCTTTCATCAGTTCATCCAGTGTTTCATGTCTTAATGCTACGAAAATGCGTAGGTGACCCATCCCGTATTACTCCTACTTAAGATGTACAGGTTACGGGAGATCTCACTTATGAAGAAGTACTCATTTCTATTCTGGATCGACAAGTTACGAAGTCAATAAATAAAGAGGTAGCTTCTGTAAAAGTGTTATGGAGGAACCAACAAGTAGAAGAAGTTACATGGGAAGAGGAAGAAGCAATGAAATTGAAGTATCCTCATCTCTTTCAGATCCAAGAGAAAGATGAAAATTCTTAGTTTGTATGCCGACAAGTAAGTATACGTCTATATGTATTATGTGATTAATAGTAGTACTAACTTAGTCTTGAATCTGTTTGGGCTGGATAATTATGGTAACATTCGAGGTGAGGGACCATGTTCCTTATGTAACTTGTTACTTTTAACTAGCCGGAAAGTGATGTATCATGCCATGCACGTTTCAGCGTGTTTAATGTAAGTTGACTCCACCAGATGTAATTAAACTAGAGATAGTAAGGT